CAGCATTAGTGTGACTGGCTGGTGAGCCCTGCCCGTGCCTTGGACCCTACGGGGCGGAGCTCACGGAGGTGAGGAGGTGAAGCTCTGTGGAATTGTGAAAAGCGATAGCCTGCTCGTTCTCCGTTGGACTCGTCGAGTGTCCGCCTTACTGCAGACTTTCCCGCTGTCCAGAAAGAGTGTGTGTAGACCCCTTCAGGTGATCGTCAGACACATTCCTCAAATGCAGGGAGAAAGGTATTTGCCAGATGATTTAAAACCTAACCCTTTAACTGCACAGCAGCAGCTTTCATCCCTGCTCGGTAGGCTGGCTCCTTCCCTCTGCAGCGCACGCTCTGGGTCACAGCTGACATTTGTATCCCCGGAGCAGGGCTGTCGCGTAGCCACAGAGCAGACGCCTTGGTGACGTCGAGAGGGGGTCTGGTCACATCCAAGTTGAGGTGGCCTGCATTTGCCGGATTCCTTCTCGTGGACCCCTGCTAACCTTGCATTTTAACAGACTAGTTGACAGTGGGTGCCAAGGTCATCAGAGGTAAAGGGGTTGTGGACACAGTTTTGTCTGAGATAACCTGGGCCCACCGCTTGGCACCCTGCTGTGTGGTGTCTGAATCCCTGTCCTGTCAGTGGTTTGTGTGGGTGTTAGATACAGAACAGATTTTCTAGAAAACAAATCTAAAGGTTGTTCTGCTTTTTGATTGTGATTAAATCATTCTTACACCTCAATTTTGGTTTTGTTTTTCCACTACAGCAAAAGTGCAAGGCTAAGGAATCTAGTATGGGGGGTGATGCTCTGCGTGTCGCTCGGGTCACTTATTTTGAAAGTGCCTCCTCCCTGGCGCCTTCACCGGGTTGTCGGGCCGACCTCCCCTCCTCCCTGGCTGCTCTGGGTCATCTCTCCTGGTTCCTCTGCCTCACCTTCCCCAGGCGCTGCTGGGGTCTGCAGCTGGGTTTCCAGCCGCTTCCTCCAGAGTGCTACCACCTTCTGGGGTTCCCAAGGTTCCCCACACAGGCCATGCCCTGCCTTCGTCTTTGGTTCACCCAAAACCTGAGATCTCTCTGGTCTGGGACTTGATGTGGTGACTGTCCCATCTTGCAGCCCCGAGGGAGGGCGATTGGAGGAAGTTCAGGTGAGTCAGTGGGGACACTGGCCTGACTAGGACCAGGCAGCGCCCTCCAGAGACAGGGGTGAGCGTGAAAGGACTCGGCTGTGCCATCGAGAAGGTGACAACTATGTCCCCGGCATGCTGTCTGCTCCAGCCGCATCCTCCAGGGGAGCTCTCCTCACAGGGAGAGGACAAGCAGCAGCACTTCCCGCTGGCAGCGTCAGCGCCGATCCAGGGCTGTGGCTGGGGCTCTGGCTGGGGCTCTGGCTGAGGCCTCCCATGCGCGGAGGTTGAGTTGCTTAAGTTTCCTGCTCTGGAGATGGGGCGACAAGGTGCCCCCCGGAATTCCTGGGAGGGTGACTGCGGTTGTGCGTGGAGGGGCCTAGGAGGTTGACAGTAGCGCATGCTCGGTGGCGGCTTCGCTCTCGCTGCTTCATGGTCCACGAGGAGGGAGGCGCTGAGTGACCGCAGCACGCCGTGTCTGCCGCTCACGGTGCCTGTTGCGTGGCGGGCTTTGGAGCAGCCCTGGAAATAAGCCGCTATGTTCTTGTTCTCAGAAGAAGACTGTTGAAATAATTTCAGTGAAATCTAGAAAGTGTAGTCATGGGGGAGTGCAAGGTATTGTGGATGCACCTCACTGGAGGCCGCAGCTCCTCCTCGGACGGGGATAGCGAGAACACAGCCCTGTCCATCATGGAGGCCGAGAGCTCGGGTCTCCAGCATTGGCAGCTGCGCGTGGACAGGGCCGGGGCAGAGGGAGCAGCCGCAGCGTGTCACAACTGTCACAGTGTTCTACACTGACGGGACGAGGTGGGCCCCTCGGGGCGGCAGTGGGAACAGAAAGCAGGCCGGAAGGACTTGCTGGCCGTGGAGGGTGGAGGAGGAAGGGCTCCGTGTGGGAGGCACGGACAGCACTGACACGTTCTTTGCAGCGCAGGAGCCACGCTCGCGTTATTTTAGAGGTGATTCCGTTATCTCTGGGAAGTGGACACTGGGGCGAGATCGGGGGTGCAGATCCGCCTGCAAACCCACTGACCGCCGCCCGGGCCGGGCAGGACCCATCCCGAGGCAGTGATGTTGAAGGGCATGCAGAGTAAGGGCAGTGCCTGGGGAGACGGGGACAGCAGCCTGTCTGTCTCAGAGGTTTGCTGAACTCCAAATGGCCACGTCTGTAACGAACGCGAACGTCCCCCCGACGACACCGAGAACCCTGTGCGCTTTCTCCAGGGTATGCGGACAGACTGCCCCGCTGAGGGGCGGAGGCCAGGCCCACACCCCTTTGTCTTCTGAATTGGTGGCAGGTGCATGATGATTTTCTGAGAACTAAAGGGACTGCGTCACATGGGTGACCGGGTTGAAGTGAGCAGACCGGGCCGTGAGAACCCGTCTAGTACCACAAAGCTTTCCCGTAAGGAGGGAATCGTCCTGGGAGAGAACTGCGGGCAGATTTGTGCGTTCTGCATTTGGTGTTTAGTGCCCTCTATTGGCGACTTAATCTGTTTAGTTTGAAGCAGCGTTTTGATTCTTGAGCAGCGTTCCTTGTAGCATTCCTTGCCAAAAGGAAAAAGTTAGAGATTTTTAAAATTGTATTTATTTGTTTTTTGAGACAGGGTCTCACTGGGAATTCAGGTTGACCTTGAACTCACTGTGTAGCACAGGCTGGCCTCTGACTCAGCAGTCCTGCCTCAGCCTGTACCTCAAGTGCTGGGTTATAGGCGTGGAGCACCGCATCTGGCTCTGAAAGCTGTTATCTTACCAGAGTAGAGTTCTATTTCCAGTATTGCCTGAGCATCCTAGTGAGAGAGTTGTTGCCATTTCAGCGGGCTGTGTCTTGAAGATGTGTCCATTACCCGACTCCGTTTCAGTAGTGCTTTTCAGTGCAGCTGGGCAGAGTGCAGAGTGCTGCTGGTGACCAGCATGGCGACGTCACCAACTTGCTGCAGGGCCACCCTTGCTGTGCCACGGCCGCTCTGAGGGAGTGGAGCCCTTCTAACCCAAAGCTGAGCTTGCTGCCCTCCCTGGGCTCCTGGAGGAGGGGCTCCTCTGTCCCTTCCCTCCCCTAACAAAGGAGTCTCTCACCAGGACGGATAAAGCAAAGGGCGTGACTGCATAGTTATTGGCTAGTGCATTAGACCTAGAACATGGGTGTCAGGTTTCCGGGAGTCCTGTGACCCAGGGTGGCCTCCATACTGCAAACAGCTCCTCGGGGCTGCCTTACCTTGTCCCTCTCAGCCCCTCTGCTGGGGAGCGTGGGTGTGACCACAGCTGAACCCTGTGTGTCCTTCATGGGCTCCCTGGGCAGTTTCTGCTCTCCTCATACAGGCGGTGATAAACAGTAGCGAGTGCGTGAAGACCACCAAGGGTCTGGACTTGAGTGGGAAGGCGGGAGGAGACGGGAGGGCATGTTGCTGGCCCCTCGAGGCCTCAGCTGTGTTGGCACTGTGGGTTGGCTCAAATTCCACACAGTGCTTCGCAGGTGAAGCCTGGGGTCTGACTCGCAGAGGTCTGGAGAGCACGACCGTGAAACTTCCAGAGAACACCAGCTGCGTCCACCGCCGCCCAGATCTCAGCGGACCCCAGCTCTGTGTGCTCTGGGGTCTTGGGGTCCTCACTCCACAGTGCCCACTCCCCCACTGGGGCCACAGGTGCCCCCACGCGCCCCACCCTTCACACCTCCCTTCCAGCATCATCTGATGACTGCAGGGCTGCAGTCTGACTGTTCCCAGCTGCGCCCCTCGTCAGTGGGTTGTTTGCCTCCTGAGACTCAGTTTCCCCCACCGGGAAACTTAGACCATGGATCTCTCTGTGCCTTGGAATCTCTTGTCACGAGTAGGTCAGTGATGATTGTCAGGCCTGGGTGAATAAAATCGAGGAACAGCGGAGATATAGATGGTTTGGTTTTGTTTTAGAGGTAGTGGTACAGACTAAGATTGAACCCAGGGCCTTCTGCACAACAGGCAAGCACTGAGCTGTACTCAATGTAAATGTCAGTGTCATCTTCATTATTTAATGAAAAAAATACAGGGCCCTTCCAGTGCACGAAAGAGATCTGCGCACTGATTTTGTGGACAAATTCATTTTCTGTTTATTAGAATAGTTCTGAACTAGGGACACCCACACTGTCATCACTTTGGGTGTGTTACTTTATTTATTCATTTTTTAGGGGGATATGTTATTTTAAAACATCCTCTGTGTGTGCGTGTGTGTGTACGCTATGGCATCAAACACAGGGGCATTCTCTATCCCAAGTTACATTTCCAGGCCTACGAGTACTTACTCAAAGCAGTAGTGGGTTCCTTGGCTTCCCGAGCGTCTTTTCTAAGCATTGCTTAGAGAACAACGTTGGGGATTCTAATTTGGTGCCTGTCCTTCCACAGCTCACTTCTCTTAGAGCAGCGGTGGTGAACCTTTTAGAGCCGAGGACCAAAATTGCAACCCCAAACCCTCTTATTTACCACAGGGTGCCAACGCTGCAATCCGGCCTGAATACCCAGTGTTGGGCTGATGGGGCGCTGGGCTCACATGCCGACAGAGGGCTCTGGGCGCCCACAGCTGCACGTGTGCCTCTGGTTCACCACCACTGTCTTCACCGCTGGGGCCAAAGGGACTGAGTCATGGTGGCCCTGTCCCAGCCCGTGGCGTGACAGGTCGGACTCTGAGGGACTCCTCCCTGCTGTCCTCAGATCTCTTCTGGCCCCAGGAAATGTCAGGCTGTGCAAGTGTGAGCCGTGAGCATGTTCGTGTGGAGCATGCAGCTGGTGCTGGGGAAGGACAGAGGGTCTCCTTCCCTTCGGCCTCCTTCGAAGCGCAGTGCACAGGTGTGGCAGGCTCACTGCACACAGCTGATCCTGCTGCGCATCGGCTGTGGGGAACTCACTGTCCCCTTCCCTTGGTTCACAGGACCCCTTGGACCCCACAAGGTCAGTGATTGTGATCCGCTCCCTGGTGGCAGACGGTGTCGCAGAGAGGAGCGGGGTGCTCTTACCCGGGGACCGCCTGGTGTCCGTCAATGAGTATAGCCTGGAGGACGCCAGCCTCGTGGATGCCGTGGAGGTGCTGAAGGCCGTGCCCCCGGGCACCGTGCAGCTGGGCATCTGTAAGCCACTGGTGGTGAGTGTCAGGTGGGCAGATGTGGGAAGTGATAATCCTGCCATGGTGAAGGACAGCAGCCTTAGGGACAGATGTGTGTTTGCCCTCAGGCAAGTTTCTTAATGTCCTTGACTCGTATCAGAAAGATAATGTCTGCCCTACAGGGTTTGGGGCTTGAGAGGTTATGGTCAGTGTAGGTGCTTAAGGCATTACTAACTCCTCACTGACCCTGTCAGCACCTGTCACCCCAGCCTCCAGAACCCCATGGTCCAGCCCTCCTGGACCTCACACACTGCGTCTAGAGGCTGGAGGGTCACGCGGTTACAGTGCTGCTGGCATTCTCCATAAACAGAATACCTGATGAGGATTTTCAGGTTTTCATGACGGCTCATACGCATGTCCATGAGCAGCACGTCTGAAGCAGGGAGCTTGGTGGCTAATTGATTGCCGGACAGGATTTCAGGAGACCTGGACTCTGTCTCTACCCGTGCCTGGAACAGGCCCGGGGGCTTCTACCTAAGGGCCATAGTCTTCCAGGAGCCCCAGGGTGGCCAGGCCCCCAGAGAACCTTTCCACGGGGCCTGTGTGCTTCTGAGCAGAGCTGCACACTCAGAGAAGTGCTGTGGGGCGAGTCAGTGGGAGGGTGCTGCAGGGGCGAGTCCGCAGAGAGGTGCAGGGTAACTGCCAGGAAGCAGTGCTTTCTCATTCTGGGGTAAGAGCGAGCACATGGAGAACGCCGGTCTTTGCTAATGTGGAAATTCCCCCTTCTACGAGGCATGTGACGCGCTGCGTGATTGCCAGGCTGTGTGCCCCAGCTGGCTAGGTGAATCGATGCGTATGCTCGCATAGGAGCAGCCCACTGCCTGACACACAAGGTTTTCCTTAATTTTTACTTTCACAAGTCATGGTTGCCGTGCACTGTGACTGCATTCCGTGTGGGGCTGGACGCAGCTCCACTGTTAGACCCCCTTCCTCCCTCCATCTCAGGGTCACTCCCATCTGCAGGATCTGCCTCCTTTCCCTGCTGTCTGTCTCTTATGTCGCTCTTCATGTACACGTCGGGTTCTAGTATGAGAGAAACTGCGACCCTGGAGCTGTGTGTCCTGTCATCCTGTGGAGTGCTCCTCGAATCGGGACCCTCCACCCAGCTGTCACGCCTTCCTGCATTTCTTGGTGGTCCCGGGGTTTGAACGTGGCCCAATGTGGCTTTCTGCTCACCCTCTGTGGCACACGAGATGGCTTTAGTCCCCTGTCTGCACTCCAGCGGTGGGCCGGGGCCTGCCGTCGCTGGGCTTCTCACTGTGTGCTGTGGTGAGCGGCTTGCTTGACTGTCCAGAGTCCAGAAGGGATCCACGCCTGTCTCTGCAGACCCGATTCCTGCTTTGGCCTTCTGCTTTTGGGCACTTGTGAGGTTATTGGGGCACGTGGGAAACCTCAACCCTTTCAAGTCCCAGGTCTTGTGCAGCTCTGCCTTCACCCTTCTGTAGTTCTGGGAGGTGGAGGCATTGCACAGAATAGGACCCAGGATGAGCAGCAGGGCATGGGCTCCTGAACAGTTTAAGCAGGAACCTCCAACCCCAGGGCTCTGCTCAGTCTGGGAACAAGCACTGTGGGTGGGGCTTCAGGGAGCTGGTGAGGGTGCCTGGAGGGGGTCAGTGTCCAGGGCACTTTCTTCCCTTCGCTTCTTTCCCTCCCCTCCGCTCCTCTCCCTTCCCCTACCCTCCTTTCCCCTCTCCCCTCCTCTCCTCTCATTTTCCCTCCCCTCCCCTCCCCTCCCTTCCTCTCTCTTCCTTTCCTCCCCTTTCTTTTGCTGTCTTTCCCTCCTCTTCTCTCTTTTGCAGTGACTCAAGCGACTAGGCACAGATTTCCCCTGAGGTGACTTCGTCCCTCCAGCATCCTCCTCATGGTTACCCCTCTATTAACCCATGTCCACTGAACCTCACGGAGTCAGGGTGTTGGGACAGACAGAGCTAGAAGGCCTGCGGACTGGGTGCTCGGCAGGCCCTGTGTTTGTGTGTGGCTGCAGAGGCCCTGGGTGGGCGGGGCAGAGAGCCCATGAGGATACCGCAGTTGTCAGAACAAAGCCGTTTTTTCAAGGTATGTAGTACATACATACCTCCCTACTACCCGTGTCCAGCTGACCAACTCCTCAGGACCAGGGCAGACCTGGTGGGGAACTGCGACCATGCAGCTGTGATTTTCCTTGAGCCTGTAGTTCACAAGGCTGTGTGTCCTGGGTGGGTTACTGAGCTCCAAGCTTGCCTTGCCCTCTGAAAGATGGGGTCCCAGCACATGGTCACAGCACACAGGCCTGGATCAGACAGCTGGAGCTCACGTTCTGGACGCGGAACCAGCCAGTTACCTGATGCCAGGCAGGTCACTGTGCCCTGAGCCGGCTGTGGTGGCGCACAGTCTCATCTCAGCACTCGGAGGCTGAGGCAGGAGGATTGCTGTGAGTTCAAGGCCAGCCTGGGCAACATAATGAGTTAGTTCAAGGCCAGTTTGCACTATGTAGCAAGACCGGTCTCAGACAAAGAGGAAATTCTGCTTTTCAGAGTCTCCTCCTGGAGAAACCAGAGCCTTTTCTTCTACTTATAAAAGTTCTTCTTCTCCAGTACAAGCTTTCTGACTTCCAAAAAGCAACAAACAGAAAACAGATTACTGAGCCCCTTTACTTACCAGTAAATAGTGTTAATAGGAGCGGTTACTCTTAGAACGCTTGTCGCCATGCTGATCAGTATGTCGAGTGTGTTTGAAGAGCACAGCCATGCCTGGTAGACAGACAGTTTCATCAGTGGGGCTGCGCCTGGGTAGTGACTCCTCTGTCGACACTTGGAGAAAGCGGGGAGCTCGGACCCAGCGCGCTGTCCCTTAGCTGCGAGCACCTCGCTTAGTGAGCAAGTCTGCGTGCATTTTGTGTCCTTGCATGAGCTGAGAATTAACCCCAGAGAGCTTGAAACTAACGGGGCTCCTGGACTGTAAAAGTGGTTTCTATTTGCAGGAAGATGAGAAAGAAGAAAGTCATTATGTTTTTCAGTGGAGCAGCAATGAAGACAAGGCTGAACTTCCAGGAGCGATTCGAGAGACAGAGCCGCCTCTCCTACTGGAGGCCCCCCAGGTATTTCGTGAATTTATTGCCCACGTGAGTGAGTTGTTGTGAGCTGAAGTTTCTGTGAAGAAGACAAAAGCTCAGTGCCCCTCCCTTGGCTAAGCAGATACAAATTAAATAACCTTTCTTGCTTCCCTTTATTTTTTTATAGGGAAGCCTTTGCCCTGTCACATTGAATCTCCACACAGCACAGGCTGAGAGGAGGCCTTTTCCAAGGCACACACACAGCTGACTCTGTCACTCAGACAGTCCTGAATTCTGAGGAGTTGAACATATTGCTGAAAATAGGCTACATGTAAAATTCTATAGAAAGTGGAGGTACACAATAAAATTTCATATTCAGTACTTTCTAAAGAAGAGTTACCTGGTGTACCCTACTTTATGCTGTCATTATAGGAAGTATATTTTGGAGCTTTATCTTTTTTATTCTTAAATGAACTGTGCTTTTTATCCTGTACAATTAGGGATGGTTTTGTGTTCCTTAATGATTACCAGTGGTCTCGGCAGCATCTCACACTGATCTGCATTCCTGGAATCTCTGTTACATTTTTTTTTAAGTGCAGAAGTTTTTAGCTTTTTTTTTTTTTTTTTTGTCTTTTTGAGACAGGGTCTCACTATGCAGTTCACACTGGCCTTGAGCTCACTTTGTAGCCCAGGCTGGCCTTGAACTCTTAGCGATCCTCCTACCTCAGCCTCCTGAGTGCTGGGATTTATAGGCATGTGCCAACATACCTGGCTCTTGTTAACTTTCATAACCATGTGCCAACATGCCTGGCTCTTGTTAATTTTTATAACCATGTAATATATTCACCTATCTCCTCTGACTACATTTCTTTGAAGAAATAAGCAGATTGAAGTATTTGATACACTGTATTAATTGAAAATCCTTACTATTGGGTTAATAATATCCCTTAGTTATTGCAGGCTGGTCAGTTCCACTATCTCCCAAACAAGTGTACGGTGAAGGCTAAGTAAAAAGAGGCAAATGGAATGATTTCAGGGCTCCAGGAGGAACAAAGCCCTCTCATAGAATTTGAGCATCTCTTAGAGCTAAGACCAAGACCTTCTCTGGGTCACCTGTGTTTATTTGTTTATCAGAAGAAGGGAGGGGAGTACTCAAGAAGGGTGGAACCATTCAAGGATTTCTCCAAGTAAGGTATAAGTTAATCCACCCAGGAGTGAGATGCCTGAGGCTACAGTCTTTATCTAGTTGAGGTTGGATCCAGGTGTCCTGGGCTGTGATCTTGTCTTATCCTTTGAGGCTTTCCAGCTTCATCCACCATGACAGGTTTTAGTAGGGAAAGTGACTCACAGAGGTTCACTTACTATGAGTCCATCACCCACTTCCAGACAGGCGGCCTGGGCTTTGGACAGACTCACGAGTAAACATGAAAAGCTAATTGGTTAATTTAAGTCCTGCTCAGGGCTGCTTCATAGTAGTCTCCATCACCTTACCACAACGTTTAGCTGTGAGGTAAAACTAGGGTAGAGAATAGATTTATCCTGGGAATGTATACTCAGGAATGCTTCATGGACAGACATAATATAGGAGACATCATTATCTCCTGGGAGGACCTGGGCCTCACCCAGCCCAGCGAGGCGCTGGAGTGAGGGAGAGGTTCCCAGGTCCTCACGTCGTCGGGTGTCTGTCTCCGCACCTGTGTGGCTGTTCAGTGTCAGTGGTACAGACTCACCATTCTGATGGGTGAATAGAAATCAATTAGAGTTTTACATATTCATTTCTTTTTTATCATGTTACCAACAAGGTGAAAACATATTTCTGTTATGTATTGTAAAAGAATCCTACTCAAGATAGTTGAGACATGCTGTCCATACCGTTGTCTTCTAGAGCATGTTTTTTGCACACTGAAATATAACTGTAATCCCTTTCAAGTTACTTACGGCTGACAGCCTGACCTTGTAAGTCTCTGCTTTCTTAAGTGCTGATGTGAAATGAATCTGTGCTTATCCACTGCTTTTTATATTAGGTGCATGGGTTAAATATTTAGCAAATTCCTTTCGCATGGTTAATGGATAATGAACCTTGAACACAGCCGATCACCTTGCCTGGGGCAGGCAATGCTTGCCTCCATGAGGGCCTCCACGAGGGCCACGGCTTGTGCGTAATGATCTCCATGGCAGTGGTCGCCAGCACTTTAGTGCGGTCCAAGGCAGCTACAGTTTAATACGGCTGCAAATTCTATTCACAGGGATTTCGAGACGAACCATACTTCAAAGAAGAGCTTGTGGACGAACCATTTCTAGATTTGGGGAAGACTTTCCGGTCCCAGCTAAACGAGATCGACAATAGCCCGGAGGCCTGGGAGATGCAGGAGTTTCTGAGCCCGGTGCCACAGGACATGGGCGAGGAGAGGGAGCTGCTGGTGGATGAGGAGTATGCACTGTACCAGCACCACCTTCAGGCCTTGGAGCTGCACCCCACCTCACCCGTCCAGGAGGCCGTGCCTGTGCCCACCTACCAGGAGCTGCACTTGGGCACACAGTGGTTGCCTGACGACTGCTCCCATAGCACTGAGTTCCCAGATGCCAGGTCCTTGCGGAGCGTATACTCCCCCGACATGCCGCAGTACATGGTAAGGCATTGTCACATGGCATCCACATCGTCCTGCTGTTCCTCCTTAACCTTCTGCTAACTTTTTTTTTTTTTTGAGACAGGGTCTTGCTCTGCACTTCAGGCTGGCCTTGAGCTCACTTTGTAGCCCAAGCTGGCCTCGAACTCACAGCAATCCTCCTGCCTCAGCCTCCCAAGTGCTGGGATTACACAGCAGGTGCCACCATGCCCAGCACCTTCTGCTAACTTTCAGAAACAAAGTAAAAGCACAATTTAAAGGTCTTCTCATTAGTCCTTGCTCACAAGGTCCCCACAGAGTGTGCAGCTGTCAGTGGGAGTATTTGTTACACAGCGTTGTGGGGGGTTAGTGAGCTGCATCTGCCTGGCTGGCGTCAAAGCCTTTGTTTTGCTTCCTTAGGGATACTCTGCCCCTCACATCTCATTTCAAGGGTGAGTTCTTTTAACATTGCCAGTTTCCCTTTAAATTCTCTCTGGGGAGCACAGCTGTATACTTCTCACAGAATGTATTTGTCAGGGCCAATCAAGACAAATTAATGAAAAAACAGCAGTTATATCTGTGTTCCATATGATATGAAAACAGTGACTACTGGAAAACTGTCTTACATTTGAGATGCTTTCTGTTTTCCTTCTGTTTAGGAAGTGGCAGGTGGGCATTTTTTTCTTTGATTTTTCTTACATTTCCTTTGCAAGATACAGAAAATACAACCTTTAAAAAATACAGGCACTCATAATTGTTACAATATAACTTTGTGTATACCTTGGACATTGTGTTTTAGAATCATTCCCTTTAAAAGTTGGAAGAAATATTTTCTCTAACTTTAGTCATATATTCTGATATTCAAGTATTTAAACCACAGTGTGGAAATAAAACATGTTTCTAGTGTATAGGTCCACAGGGATTTAACCCTTAAGGTTCCAGAGATTCTTTCATTAAGCAGGATAGAAAACTGGAGAGTCAACCCACCTCAAGGAGCACCAGGAGTGGTTCGCTTTCCACACTTTATCAGGATGGGAACCCGCCTTGGGCAGGTTTGGGCAGGGCTCCCCCCTCTCTGCCCTGTCTTTGGAGTGTGGCTCCTGAAAGATGACTTCTAAGATACGTCTGAGCTCTAAAATGCTGATTCCGTAACTACACATTTGCAGGATGATGCTTTCCAAGTCTGAGTTCCAGTGCTGTTAGGTTAACGTTAGGTAATTAATTCAGGCTGCGTCAGTTGAGAGCATAGTTAAAACTGGCATGCTAGAGCTCCCCCTGGGAACTGCTGGAGAAAGTCTTCCTCACCAAGGCATTCATCCTGGAGACAGTTCTGTACTTCGGAAGAGCCATGCTGAGAAGGCGGGAAACAGCTTACAGCTTTTCAGCGGCACCGCCGAGGATGACGGCGGGTACTGTGTGACTCGGCTCGGCTCCGAGGCCTCAGTCGTGAGGAGCTCACTGGGCCATGTCCTTCCTATACACTGACCAACTTCCCACGCCTTCTTCAAGGTCAGATTCTCTCTCTAACTGCAGGATTGACTGGTGATGGGCCAGACAAAGAGTACATAGTATGAATGTGCAGTGTTAGCATCATGGTGCTGCTTGACTTAACACCATGCCGATGTTCTAGAATTCACGGATGATTTTTTTCTGTGGAGCAAACTATAAAGTCAGTCAGCTATATATTCACAGATCATTAATGTTTAACATGAGCATTTTTACATATAATTCCATACGAGAAGACTATAATAGGAAGTTAAATGGCAGAACTGTACTTTAAAAAGTTATTAAAAATAGAGTTTAAAATTCTCTGTTGAAATTAGCAACAAGGGAGATATCTATTAGGGTAACTCTTATGAAACTATAGTTTCTACCAGTTAAAATGGTCAAATTTTGCAATTTCATATTGTTTAACCTAATAAGATCCTGAGAAAACTTAATTTGACATCACACTGTAAATCAAAGGGAATGTATAGAAAATCACATTTCAAATGAGGAGAAAACACGTTAGGATAGAAATGCTCATACTGGTCACGCCAAGATTTAAAGATTAGAAATCTTGAAATGTTAAATAAATTAATCCAGTTTCAGTAAAATAGAGGATAACTGAAATTATAAAATAATAACTTGTTGCTGTGCCACTGAAACGGAAACTACTGTACTGACCAATTTGGCGATTGAAAGGCTTTTTAGACATCACATGTAAAAGCCTCAGCATAAACTTGAAAAGCCTTCAGTATCAGTTAAAAGTATAATAATCATTTATGAAACCCTTGAAAATCAGGCAATTCATATGTATTGATATCAGTAAGTAGCACCTATACCAAATTTCGCTTTGGTCTCCTAGGTGGAATTATTACAAATGAATTAACATAATAATAATTATAGCAGCATTATAAGTTTCTGAGATTCAAGAATATCTAAAACTTCCCAGTCATACCTCATATGTACCAAAAATATATTTAAAATTAGGTACGTTAGTCACAAAATTTTTTGCAGTTTTTCTTCAAGTAATGAGCTTTCTCTTCTCACCAACTGAAAAACCCAACAAAATCAAGAGCTAACCAGGAAAAACTTGCTACACCAAACACATAAGCTATTCTTATTAAAAAAAACACCATATTTAGAAATGGTACTTGATTTATGAATTTGTTAAATATAATTAGGGAATAACCGCAGATCTTTTGGGTGTGTGTATGTGTACAGCAGAGGTCTTCGTTGGGAACTCAGGAGCCGCCTGTGGCGGCTGCTCCTGTCCTCCTGGCGCCTGCGCGGAGTGCTGCCCACTGCCCACCAGACTGGCACATCATGAAAGGAAGCAATCTGAAAGATAAAAGCAAAGACCACATCCATCGTCTTCACTATGGCTACAGGCCCTCTTTTTCTCTCTGAACTGCTTTCATGATCAACATCTGATGCCCAAACCCAAGAGCCTAGTGAGTAAACAGACTCCTACTAGAAAGCGGAGGAGCTGCTTTGATAGGCCGGGCATGACTCATGCCAGATGCTCAGAAGGGCCCACAATCCCTCCCCGTCGTTCTCGAATAACCAGCGTGGCTGCAGAGACCCGGCAAGCCCATAGCTGCAGGTATTCCCTGCAGGTGGACCGGCAGCTCCCTTCCCTCCCCGAAGAGTTAGAACCATGCACAATGGGGCCTCGCGATGAGGACCACTGCAGCACCTGTGGCCAGGGAGGGGAGGCTTCGCAAGGGCTGCACGTCTCCTTGAGAGAGACCCCAGCAGATGGGACAGACCACTGGGCAGCTAACGTGGATAACCGCCCGCTGCACGGGGCATCCAGACAGCACAGTGTGTCAGGGTCCTGGAAGTAGAGCCCAGGACTGCCTGGCCAGGAGGAAACATCGCTGGCCTTCTAGGCCTGCAAATGCGGTTTGCTGTATATTAAGCAAGGGATAATAACTAGCATTTGGAACACACATCGGCACTAATTTCTACTGCATGGATGGACTTTTTAAACAAAGAGGCCACTGAGAAGGAGGGCAGCAGCGTGGAAAACAGGCCACGGCCGCGTGGCAAAGGCGGGCAGCGCCAGTCTCAGCATCTCCACTCCTCGCCTGTGGGTGCTCGAAGGCTAAGCGGTCAACAGTTGGAATCTCTCGTTGGAGACATCTTTTACTGTTTGGTTTGCCTGTGTATATTTGCACCCTGAATTAAGTCTCAGGTAGGAGGGAAGAAAGCGTTGAAAGACACGCCTGAGCCATGTGACCGTGCCGCCTGCACCCTCTGCCCACCTGTGAGTGAAGCTCCTGGGTTCCTGTGCCGGATGCCTTGTGATGTGGGTGTCAGGCCAGCCCCTCCGAGGTCCAGCACAGCCTGAGCACAGCATTCACTTAGGAGCAGACTGGAGCCAGAGGCCTTGGATGTTCAGATACCTGCTGTCTGTGACTGTCTTTCCTTCAAAAATAAGATTTCTATTCATTCAAATCCAAAGCAATCTCATATGTTGATCCTTTTAAACGTGTGCGTGTGTAAGGCTATCGAAATAATCAAATGTATATTGATAATGTTTACTTAAAGCATTTAATCAGTCATATTTAGAACCCTATAAAACCTTGAGTTTTTGCCTCTTCTCACATGCAGCAATCTAACTTGACGCAGGTTTTTTCAGTGCATTCTGGGTGTGTGTCTACTCCTAGAATCACTTTCTTTTGACTCAGGAGGCCGGAATCTCTGCTTCCCTTCTGGCAAGCTGGTCTGCAGTGCTGCGACCTTGGGTCCACACTGGCGCTGAGCCTCTTCCTTGCCTCAGGTTCTGTGGTGGTGCAAACCCCTTCCCTGCTGTGTCCATCCCACGCAGTGACCCTCTCTGCATCGCTTGGTCAGGCACCCTTCACAGCTGCTTAAGCGGCCACCTCTTTCCTTCCTGTTACCAGCTCAGCTGGGCCCGAGCCGTGGGGCTGTTTTCTTCTATGAAAAGAAAATTTCTGTTTCCTCAAATAAAAGGCAACCTGAAAAATCAGTCCATTTTAATGTGTAACTGTTCAAGGCTAGAGATGAAATGGTCAAATGCACAGCCCTAATATTTCCTTTGAACATTTAAACATTTAACTGTAAAATTTAAAATGCTGAAGGCTGTCGGGAAGGGTTCTGAAGCAGTTCTGTTGGGAAGACCAGCCTCCCCAGGGTGGACAGGACGTGAACCGGCACAGCTCCTGTGGCATCAGCAGACACATTCCTCGAAACCCAGGGAGAGGGGCCCTGTGACCCAGCTGCACCCTGCCTGTGTGTCCCCGAGAGAATTAAGGACCCTGTCGATGCGTGCATGCCTCGCACAGGCGCATGGTGCTGCAGCTCACAGCAGCTACGCTGAGCCGTGGAGGCAGCCTGCATGCCACCAGCCGCTGAGTGCCTGCTGGCCCAGTGGCCAAGCAGGGGTGGGTACAGAGTAAGGAGAGGTCTCCCAGGGCTCTCTTCCCTGTCCAGCTCTGGCCTCGGCTGGATCTGAGGAGAATAATTTCATCTTGGAGTCCACCTTTACGCAGAGCTGCAATTGGTGGGTCCTGTGGAATGTCTGTTTTTCTGAAAACAAAAAACAAAAAAAAACAAAACAGTGATTTTTCAAAGTAGTCACACTATTTTACATTCCTGCCAGTGCTCAAGTTTTCTGTTTCCCTCATCCTTGCTCACACTTGTTTGCCCGGGTGAGCGTGTGCATGTGTGTGTGCATGTGTGTGCGTGTACGGGGTGAAGTCCTGTCTCACTGTGTTTTCTAGCTGCAGTTCCCAGATGACTGGGGTTTTGAGGGGTAACTTTCATGTGCTCATTGACCATCTTTACATTTTCTTTGGAGAAATACATTTGTCTCTTGTTTGGGGTTTTGTTTGTTTGTTTATTTTTTGAGACAGGGCCTCACTATACCGTTTAGTCTGGTTTTGAACTCACTATGTAGCCCAGACTGGCCTCCAACTCACGGTGATTCTCCTGCCTGAGCCTATCAGGAGCTGGGATTATAGACATGCACTACCACACCAAGGTGTTTGTCCATTGTTTTAGAGATTTTTTTTTCTTTTGGCCTCAGGATTATTTGTCTGAAAGTGAGTGTATGTTCTTATTTTATTCTCTGTTAGAAAAAAAAAAATTTCTCTAAATACCTAGCTTCTCAAATCCACTGTATTGAAATCCTGATTCGGGTACTAAATCTCTTGTTCATCAGTTACTATTAACATGATTGCCACCGACTCTTTAAAGAAAAGTCTGAGTGGAGCAAAGTTCCTATAAGGTTTCTTCTCTTCTGTGCTCGGTGCCTACCATCTCCTTCTTACTCCCTGTGTTCTTGTTATTTTATTCTAAACAACTAACTAGTTAAATCTTCCTTTGCCTCAACTTTTGGGCTGAATTCTCTGTTCTTTGGAGTTTCTTAGGTGTCTGATGTGTCCTTACCTATAATCACAATTTGTTGGGGAAAATCCTGCTTTATTTGGGTACACCAGTGCAAAGGAGAACCTCTACCATTGAATTCGGACCATTATAGCATTACAAAAAAGTGAGCTATTGTAAAAGGTGAAACTTATTTTTTTAAAAAAAACAAAGATTCCTAATAATAAAGAATAGTGTTATTTACCCTAAATGAATTAAAATATTGTCTACAGTGGGTATAAAATTTCTTATGTGCTTAACATTTTTAAAAAATATAACAAAATATACAATTGGATGTTCTCTATCTTCGTCTGTGTGGGCAGCTATGTAATAAACTACCATAATGGAAGTTTATTTCTCAAGGGTCTGGAGGCCAGAGTGCAGATGAGGTGCTGGTGGGCCTGGCATTTAGGAAGACATGATTCTCTTTCAAGGGCCTGACTCCCATCCACAGGGCCTGAGTCCTGTCCACAGGGCCTGACTCCCTTCCACAGGGCCTCACTCCCATCTGCGGGGCCTGACATCTGTCCACAGGGCCTGACTCCCATTCACAGGGCCTGAGTCTCATCTATAGGGCCTGACTCCTGTCCACAAGGCCTGACTCCCGTCCACAGGGCCTGACTCCTGTCTACAGGGCCTGAGTCCTGTCCACAGGGCCTGACTCCTGTCCTAGGGCCTGACTTCCATCCACACGGTGCTCTCTGGCTGTGTCCTCCCAGGGTTGGGGAGAGCCAGGAGCCTGTGCCCTGAGGCGCTGACTTCATCCTAATGCCTCCCCGCAAACCCTGGGAACACAGGATGGAAAGCCCCTTCCTGCCTGGCAGGGCAGGCAGCAAGAGAGAGCTGCACATCTGCTCACAAGTGCGTGGCCAGGGCCTTCCTTGGCGGCTTGCGAGTAGGGTGGCAGGGGATGAGCCACTGAGGCGGGACGGAGTGGGAGGTGCAGAGGTGTCACTGGAAGGCTGCGCCGTCCCTGTCCTTAAAGAGAGGGTGCTGCTTCCCTGCCATTGCCATGGGGGGAGCACACGTCCCCGCAGGAATCTCTCCTCTTGGCTTTTAACAAAGAGCACAAAAGTCCAAGTGAGCTCGCCCCCGCTGTGTGTCCTGTGTCTCGTCAGGAGCGTGCTGTAGGCTGTCAGGGTTCGGGTTTCAATGTGAGGACACCAGCTGTTTAGCATTCCTGCAGACTGTAACTAAGCAGCCGCAGGGACAAGTGTGGAAAGAGGAAACGCATGCGCTGTGCGTGGCGATGCTCCTGCGTTCTGCAGGTCACCGGGTACTTGGCAGGTTGAGCAAAGGCTTCCAGCAGAGAAGTGGGAAAATGCACCAAGGCGCAGCGCGGGACTGGAGCGCTTAGGCTGCAGGCGCCGAGCCTTGGGACCTGGGAGGTCGAACGGGCCTTGCGTTCCACCGTCTCAGTACATGGTTATTTATACCCACTTAGTAATGTTTAGAAACCACTTTGATTACAAACCTAGTGTTTGAAGAAGAGGCTGTATGGCCTGGGCCTTTTGCAGATTTGAAGCCGCAGTGTTTGTCACCACTTGTCGGGGAGAGGTGTTGGGAGGCCTGGTCTCTCTCCCTTACATGGCTGAGCAGTGTTGCAGCGTTCCAGTTGTTTGGTGAAGCGCTAATGTGTCTGTTTCCTTCCTCTAGATGGAAGAGCGGTTTGGCATCGACCCTTTCCCGCCCGAGCCCTCCATCAGGCCAGGCAGCCCGCATGGCAGATCCGATGGCCCCGAGCATCTCGGTTCATTAACAGAAAGCAGTCTGGACTTGGGTGCGTGGTTTTGTTTTTATGAACAGATTGGTTGTTTGCAATCTTTCTGTGCTTTATCGTATCTAGTAGATTTTTTTAGGCTTTTTGTCTGATTCTGCTGCACAGTACCTGAAAGATGGACTCTGGCTCAAGTTTCAGCTGAGATTTTCAGGTTCCACTCTGAAGGGCGTTTCCATTCCTCTGCCTCCTGTCGCTTTTTATTAGCCGTGTCGATTAAAACTGAAACCGGTACTGATGCTGAAATGCGTCTCCACTAATACACTTTAACGTCTCCGCTGCTCTTAAGTGGTGCTGTTAGCTCAGTCACGGGGCTGTTAAGTATTCATAAAGAGAGACATATTTTAAACATTCATGAGACACTTTACAGCCATATATTACAGTCGATTTTAGTACATTAATAACTTAGTTTCCATCAAAGAATTCTAAAAGTATTGTGCCAGCTTTGTTTCCCTCCCTTAGCAGCTCTCATGTATTGTTGAAAAGCTGACTCTAAAAAGTTTTTCTCCATTCAGCACAGACATGCTGCCTGTAGTGCGCTGTTCACGCCCCGGGTGAGAAAGGGGAGCTCTGTTGCATGTTCACAGAGCTGCATTTGGGGCTGTGCTGGCTTCTGGCCTACTGCCCGCCTGCCCACCTTGGCTCCCGGGTGACGAGGGGTAGCTGTGTGGGGGTGCGCTGTGTGGGGGTAGCTCCCGGGGATGCGGCGCTGTCCAGGACAGCGCTGTGGAGAGCAGTGGGGGAGTCTGTGTGGACCCAGGCTGCCAGTGGATGATACTGAGTGTACCCGAGAGCACCACCATCGTTGGCTCCCTGTGGCTGGCACTTTCTGTTCTGTGGAATTGGATGAATCTGTCCCACTTTCCAAGCTCAAAAGCGAGAGGAAAATGGGACTCTGCCCTCAAACTCTGCAGGTATGGGGCTTTTTAAATTCACCACATTGCTTTAGTTCTTTCTGAACACTAAGCCCTCGAGATGATCTACAACACAAATGCACGAGGGGACTATACCTGTGTGATTAGTGTAACCGTGTGTGGGCAAGGTCCTCACTGGAGCCTGGCCGGGTGTCGCAGCTTCCCAGCCATCACCCCGGACTCCAGTGACATCCTGCCCAGCCCACCCGAAGTGGTACAGACGAGCGCTGTCTCTGGAGGAGCAGCTGACCCCACACCTGCTTGTGCTCTCAGGAGGGGGCAGAGCGAGTGATCAGGTGCACAGAGCGGGCAGGGTGGGAGTGGGGTTGGAGGATCAGGAAGCGACACTATCCGCTGTGTGCGCAGGGCGACCGTCCCTCCCTGAGCCCTTTGTGGATCTTCTCCAACCCCACCTGGCCCCTCTGCATTCCGAATGTTTCCTGGGATGCCATGATAAATCACTGACAGCATCACATGGCATAGCCCGCTGCTGTCATGAGCCTGACCGGCCCAGCCCGGGCTCCGGGAAAAGCTGTGCTTCCTCCCCAACTTGGCCCATGTCCCCAGCTGGGGCTACCCTCCCCACTGCAGCGCTGCTTATGTCCTTGAGGGCCGCCTCCTCCTCTCCCTGCATTGTCTCCCTCTGTCTCAAGTGACACCTGTGGCTGTGAGGCTCACGTGGGAAATCCAGGATGGTCTGTCCTCAGCTGCACCCCACAGACCCTTTCCTCAGCGGGGTCACATTTGTGGGTTCTGGGACATGGTGTGTCTTTTTAGGGGTCACCATTCAACCCTAGATTGCCTTAGTTGGTCGCTTTGCAAGGCCCTGAGTATTTATCCTTGAGATGGTGACTTTGGGAACCATGCCAGATGTGCATGTCTCAGACCTGTGCTCACTAGAAAAGCCCTCGTCACCACACAAGAGGGCATTCTGAGAGCCTGCAGAGCCTGCGGAGCCAGCACCAGGGCAGGCGGGAGGGTCTGCATCAGTGCTGACCACACCACACGGTGAAGAGCAGTTGCCACAGCATTGGACAGAGTGCAGCGGCCACGCGTTGCGTACTCTCTGCTCTGATTCACATTTTCCTGCTGGGAGCGCTGTCTGCAAACGCAGACCCAGTCCCATCCCAGCCTCCTCTGCACAAGGCCTTTCCACAGGCCCACCAGCCCGACCTCTGCAGCACTGTCACTGCCCAGAGGGGACTTCCCTGTGTGCTCCTGGAGGGCCCTTGCCGATCTGAGCTGGCCATCTGCTCCGTTAGTAGTAGACATCTTAGATTTACCCAAAGCACAATTAGTTTAAAATCACAGAACGGTCTCCTGGAGTGAGTCCAGGGTGAGTTGCTGTCACTTCTGTCCATGCCCTGGCCTGAGTGCCAGGGCACATGCCTGTTACCAAGGCAGGTGGCTGGGTAGGCCAGTAGGACGAGTGGCATGTCACTCAGCATGGCTGTCTGCAGGCCTTGAACTCACTGCTGGTTTTCCTCCTTTGCTGAGTTCTTCGCCCCAGCCTCTCTCTGCGTGGATTCTTTTTCCTTTTCTGGGTGCCGTTCAGCTCTTGCACCTTGCCAAGTACAGCGCTTTGGAGCCCATCCCTGCCAGCACTGGCTTCTGGTAGTCCACCACTGTGCCCTGTCCGGGTGTTACCAGCACCGCAGAGGCCCCAGGGGACGTGGTGCTCCTCGTGGCTCCCTGAGGAGGAGGCCCCTCCAAGAGGACCCTCACCCTGCTCTGCTTCCGGTCATTCCTGCTGCACCCTGTGTCCAGCCCTGCCCCTGCTTCTCAGCAGCAGGGTGGCACTCCTGGCGGTGCTGGGCCTGTCTCAGCCTGGTGCACAGGAGGGCAGCATGCGGGCCGGGAGGGTGCCTGCACCTCGCTCAGCGCTCCCTGAGACACCGTCGTCCCAGCTGTCCGCCTTGTCGCCAGCCTGGCTCCCAAGCTGCAGGACCAGGTCACGAGCAGAAGTGGTAGCAAGTTGAGTAAAAGATGTGTTCAGGGTGAGGAAGTGGGAAGAGTTTTGGTGATGTTTATAGAAGACGTTTGGAAAGAGCATCTGAAGGTCTTGGACAGAGATCATTTCTGACGTTCTGCTACATGCCCTACCGGGGCGTGCACTAAGGAAGGCTGTGGGGCCGAGTCAGCGCACACACATGACAAAGGCGGATGTGCTGCGGGTGCAGTGGGTCTGCCGCGGTGTGCCTGCGCGGGTGCAGTGGGCTTCAGGCTGCGCTCTGCCAGTAGCTAATGGACCAGCGCAGCAGGGATGTGTCACGGGCTCCGCAGCCTGCCCTTGTTTTTTTTCTTTTCCTCTTTTTTAGTAAATGAGAAAATGACATAGATGTCACCTTGGATGAGTTTTCATCTTCTGGGAAATTGGGAGGGATATTCAATACAGTAGCCAAAGAAAGTACACAATGTTTAAATTTTCAAAAGGTTTATTACAGTAAAAGACACATTGCTGTTAATCCCTTACAGCTCATCCCCAAGGTCAAAATGACCGTGAGAGGGAAACATTCTGAATGGATTCAGAACCTGGAGACAGCCAGGACAGCACAGCTAAAGACCCTCAGGAGAGAGGACGCCAGAGCTGCTGGAGGAAGTGGCTGGGAGGGTGGGACAAGTGTGTGCGGAGCCAGGGAGAACTCTGAGAGGCTCATGGTGCTGTCTTTTACTGTAGTATTTTTTTAATTAAACATTCCCCATAGTTTTCTACCACATCCTGAAAGTGGGGTGACAGAGCTGGAAGCCAGAGCCCTGGGAGTCCAGAGCCCGGGGAGTCCAGAATAAAGGCCATTCCATCAGATAAAGGCTGTACCATCAGGTGAAGCACATTCTAGTCAAGAAGCCAGAAGCTGCCCTATGAGGGCTTCAACCTGCCCCACATGAGGTGGGGATGCCATGGTGCAGTTTGCTTTCAGATACTTAGTTCTCCATTACATTATTTTTGTTGTTGTTGTTGTTTTTGAGACAAGGTCTCACTATGTAGTTCAGGCTAGCTTTGAACTTGCTATGTAGCCCAGGCCGGCCTCGAACTTGCAGTGATCCTCCTGCCTCAGCCTCTCATGTGCTGGGGTTACAGTGTGTGCCCCCACACCCGGCTTGTTACATTTAAAATAGCAAATAAGACTCACTGTCAAATAAGGACTGGACTTCTCAAGGTTTTCTCTTCTTGTCTCTGTCTTTTTCTCCCCACAGCTCAGCGACTCTGGGCCCTGTGTGGCACAGAGCTGTGAGCTTTCTGTGTGGCTCAACAAAAGTCCTTGTAAAGTTGCATCCTTCGCAGATCACAGAACCAACTGCTGCACCCGCGGTGCCCTGGATGCCCGGCCCCTGGCCCCATGCCCTTCTCTGTGGCTGCCCCTGGAATCAGCCCAGCATGGCAGCTCAGTGGCCCTGGACACCCCCTGGCACCAGTGCCTGGAAAGCGCCTGGCCAGGAGTGGGTGCTCTGTGCATATTTGTTGAATGAATTTTCAGAAGTGTGAGTGAATGATACCTACACTAATGCTGGGTAAACTGAAAGGTATTTTTTGTGGCTTTGGTGTCTTCCCCACAGAGTTAACACTCGGGCTTGGTCTCTCCTCACATTGTTTGCTGGGAAACAAAGCAGAGGGCAGAAGCTACCTGAGCCTTTTTTTTCTTGGCATATCTTCTAGCTTAAGTTCTGCCAGAAATTTTTAAAAATCCACAAGAAGTACACAAACCAAACAACATATTTCTACAATCTTGATAAGAGTATGCATTTCTTGTCATTTCAGTAAAAACTATATTGTTTATCAGTATGAATCCTACACAGTAGTTTTTTATCTTCTTACATATACTTGAGCTTCCAGCTAACACTCTACTCACATAATTTGTAATATTAACAGTTTTTTTCTTCCAAGAACACAATTTTTAAAGAAATAAATTGCAGGAAAAACGGTTCTGTTTTGACTTGCAGCACATGGCTTCTGGGAGCTGCCCCGCAGACCCAGAACAAGACCCCTAGCTGAGTGTCAGGCCCATCCCCACAGCCTGCCTAGGACTCCACCTGCACCCTGCTGTGCAGACTCAAGTCCACCGTGCTGATCACTGTTTTCTCTGATCACTGTTTTCTAGAAGAAAATGGAAAACAGCACAGGATTCCTTGGGTTTCTGTAAGCTTTCCCAGTGTCTTGCTGTCTTAGTTACTTTTTCATGGCTCAGACCAATACTTGGCACCCACAACTGTAAGGAGGGGAGGTTTATTTAGCTCACAGTTTGTAGAGGTGTCCGTCAAGAGTTGGCTGGCTCCAAGGCAGGGTGGCATGGCAAAGGGGCATTGCAGAGGAGAAACAGTTCCTGGCATGGCAGACAGGAAGCAGAGAGGGATCAAGGGAAGAGGAGGGATACATACACATATATGTGTATATACACTTTTCAGGCCACGCCCCCAGTGACCCACCTCCTGCAAGGAGGCTTCACCAAGCATCACATTTAGCTCTAAGCTCCTCAGTGGACTAATGCAGTGATGAGCATCACCCCCAAGTCTGTCACTTCCCCGAAGCTGCACCTGTGGGCACATGAGGCTCTTGGGGCATCTAGATGTAACACTTCCACAGTGCTTTGCAGATAGATTTTTAGGTTTTCCCTTTGCCTTATTTGAATAAACAGAGCTATTACAGCCACTCAGCATAATAAATGGCATTCTCAGACCCCTGCAGGTATACATTTAGAAATCCCAGTCACTTTCCAGGGTTATAGAAAGTGCACAGGTTCTTGGTGTGGATGATATGATAAAAATACCCAGTATCTACTCTAATAATCACATTAGCTCAGAGCTGCTTTTTTAAATTTTTATTTTATTAGAACCTGTTTGCAGTACATGCAGTTTACATTCATCTTAGGAAGTAGGTACATGTACTTGTGCTGATTTGCTTTCTATTTAAGAAAACAGTATATTCATAATTTTTTACTTAGAAACTCATTTTGATCTATTAAAGACGTACTGTATTTATTCCTTGTGAATGTGTGGTCTGTGTACAGACGTGTGTACATATCCACATGCGCGTGCTCTCTGTGGTGTCAGCAGTGGTCTGTGGTAGTGACCTGCGGGGCTCCCTGGTGTTTACTTGGACAGAGGTAAGGAGGAAGTGAAGGTGCCTCTGCCTTCGTATTACCGGGAAGATTCTACGCTGTCCTGCTGGGCCTGGGAGCAGAAAGGCAGTGAAGTCCAGGCTCTTCCTGCCCCTCCCAGCTGCTCAGGCTTACTGCTGTAGCCTCCTGTAGAGAAATAAAAACTCACCAGAGTTTGGCATAAAACTTATGTAAGCATTTAGATAAATTACGAGTCTGCCTACCTTACTCGCCTGCTAAGAGCTGGCGAAATCCCCTGACCTAAGTTCCCACACCTGGCTGCCGCCAGCATCTTCGCTTTCTTCCTCATTGTGGATGTGGCAGTCAGGGTAACAGACGCAGCGGAACTCTGAAATTCTTGGACAGAGCCTTCAGAAACCTGTGTGGTCTCAGTTGCTCACCCGTTGTCCCACAGGACGATTTCTTCTAACCAGCGATGTGGTGCCTACGTGGGCAGCGAGGTTGCAGAAAGAAGAACTGCAGCAAGCTGTCCCAGAGAGGATTCTCTGGCTCGGTGATACTGCTGAGTGTTTCTCAGTGAGGCCGTGCCCAAGATGGTGACCTTCTAACTAGAGACCATACTCACAAGTGAAATAAATCAGACGTACATGTGCAAGCACTGCATTGTTTCATTAGTGTAAAACCTGAAAGAGTTAATTTAAACTAGGCGGTATGATAGGCATTGTGAAATGATAGGAAAACGCTCAAGGGTAAAGGGCAGTTGGATGTGGGAAAAAAGAAGGGAAAGAAGGAGAAATTTTGTATGTATGTATATACAGGATAGTTAACATAGTTCAACTGTCTTCTATTTCTTTGCTGAAAGAAACTGTCAGTGAGTCCTTGATTGATCAATATTGCATGTCTCTGTTTCCTTGAGAAACCACTCTAAAGATATCAATATGTAATACAAGAAGCATTGTTAATTTCCTACCTTTTTGTTTGTAACTCTGTATTGTCTGTACTGTTCTTTTGCTGTTTTGTAAAAGGTTGTCTGTCTGTCAATGTTTTCCTCCTTTTATTTTTAAAATTTAAAAAAAAGATGGTGACCTTCTTCTAGGAGCAGCCCTGTCCCCTTCCCTGAGACTGCCGCTCTGCCTTCCCCACTCTGCCGCTCCACATCACACGCTTACTTTAACGCTGTGTTCCGCCAGGGCTCCCAGCCACCCCTAGAGAGCACTCTTCGTTGTTTGCTGATTGACAACAGGGTTCTGTGTCTTACAGTCTGTGTTTGTCTTCAGGCATGACCATTCCAGAGGATGACCCAGGCCTGAGTGTGCCACTGGACCTTCCCACCGGGGCTCAGCAGAGGGCCCCAGATCTGCCTCCATACCAGCTCCCCAGGTCTCGAGGGGCCACGAAGCACCCTGGAGTGTGGTCCTCTAGACACCCCACCCATGCCCGGTAGGCCACCATTTCTACAGTCCTCACACTGTGGAGTGGGGTACATGCTTTGCCTTCCTGCCTCTGGAAGATGCATGAATTTGGTAGAGCACTTGGACAAACATTAGCACTGACTCTACTATATTCTGTGATTCCTGGGAGAATTTCACACAGTGTTGAAAATTAGGCACCACGTGCAACATTTTGTGCTCAAGTGGGTAACGTAGAGTGGCTGCTGGGAGGGTGGGAGGTCAGCTCAGGTCATGCTGACCGTGCAGGCAGGTCCTGGGACCTCGGGGAGGGCAGGACGTGGGACCCGAGGGGAGACTGAAATTATGCGTTCTGTGGGAAGAGGTAGGAGGGTGCTCTGTCTCCACAGGAGGCCAGGTGGGTACTGGGATGCCTGTCCTGCCACATGGACTGTCCAAGTGGAGCAGGCCGAGGGGAAGCTGACCAGGCATCTGGGGTCACCGTGAGGGTTGAGGCGACCACAGGACCACAGAGCCAGGCAGAGCCCAGGGACGTAGCACCCAGGGTTCTTCTGAGGCTCTGGCAGGGACTGGTGCAAGTGAGATGCTGGCTGAGCGTGGTGGAACAGAGAGGGCCGGGCCGGAGTCTGCGCAAGGTGTGAGCAGAGGAGGAGGAGCAGAGCCAGCGGACACACTGCGCCGAGGCTGAGCCTGAAGCCAGGGCAGGAGCGCTGCAGGGCTGATGCCCACGGAGCGGAGCACGGCTGCCAGCTGCAGGGAGGCCCCAGGGGCTGAGACAGTGGCCGTCCGTGGTGGCTGGGAGTGGAACAGAAGTCAGAAGCTGTAAGGGACGAGCAGACTCCACTGAGAGAACCGTGGTCGTGAAAGAGGCTGGTGGGCGCGAGTTTCCTAGAGAGGGGCCCACCGCAGCCAGGCAAGGGCTCACCCTGCACGTGTTCTGTGTAGCCTCGAAGTGCGCACTTACCGTGCACTGTTACATTCCCACAGAGGAACAGCGTGGGGCCCAGAGAATTGTGTTTGCTTGTGAGACCCCAGCGAAGGGCATGCAGTGCAGGAAGGCTGACCAAGCCAGTGCTGGGGTGCCGTGGGGCAGGGCCAGCGAGGCCTGGAGAGGGGTGTGGAGCTGCCTGTTCCACCAGGAGGACCGTTCTCTTAGCTGGTCAGCACCGAGTTCTAAGAAACATATTTCCCATACTGATAGAGAAATTAAGGTGAAACTGTGCAAATCGAACACTTATTAGAAAAATCCCTTCTAGGTGAAAACACCAGTATGCTTTTATAGCCATTGTGTGACTTACAGACCGTAAGTCATTGTGTGGCTGTCTGTGTTGGTGGGGACTTGCCGCATCGAACCCCAGCGCAGTCTGTGTTTGCTTTGCATATTTATCGGTGCCAATGTTGCAGAAGCTCAGAGCTGATTAGTGCCTGTAGGTTGTGCAGTTTAAGAACTTTCTCCCAGCTCCTGTAGGAATCAGAGCAGCCAGGCGTGGTCGTGCACACCTGTAGTCCCAGCATTTGGGAGGCTGAGGCAGGAGGATTGCTGTGAGTTTGAGGCCAGCCTGGGCTGCAAAGTGAGTTCAAAGCCAGCCTGAACTACATAGTGAAACCCTGTCTCAAAAAGAAAAAAAAAGGAGAACAAGAGCATATCTCCTCAGCTGTGCACTCTTCCTGTCTCCCCTCAGAGAGTTGCCTGAGAGAGAAGAAGGTGAAGGAGAAGAGACGCCAAGCTTCAGCCACTGGGGTCCCCCGAGAATGTACGTGGTGACGTTGCTGGCCTTCAAGACGCAGTAGGCCCTGGTCTTCTCTTCATCTGACAGGGCATTGTTCTTTCACACTCGGCTTTTTACCGCTTCTTGAGGTTTTATTTTTGCTGGCACGTGTTTGCCTTCCATAATGGGTGCATCCCTCGCAGGGAGTGGGCAGGTGACGCATCTTCATCCTTCCTGTGGCCTCATCTCTGGGCCCCTCTCCTGTTATCTAGCTTCCTGTTACCTATTTTACTTTGTGCTTTGTAAGAGAAACCACACAGTACTGAGCTTGTGTGGACTGCATTTCACGTGGTGCTATGCTCTTCCTTACGCTAATTGCAGAGTGACCATCATTCTCCTGCACGCCGGCAGTCTCCATTTTTGACTCACTCTGTCAGTCCCACGACTTGGAGCCAATGAAATGGACTCCAGTAACTGATGTCAGCACGGGCTCCATACGCACCTGGAGGGAGCCGTTGCAGGGCCCGCGCCGGTCAGGCATGATGGGCTAAGTGCACGCTGTCAGCACAGGCTGTGTGGGGCCACAGGGTGCGGGGAACCGATGCCCGGTCCCCTCTGCCGTCCCCAGACACCCTGATTCACAGCCTCCAGACTGAACCTTGGGGTGCTTGGAGTCCTCGCCAGGGCTTGTGTTGGGGACAGCAGTCTCCCTTTAACCCTTTTCCATTCTACGCATTATTAACCCCCGCTCCTGCTCAGCCCACTGTAGCTCTTCCTGCGGCTGAATTCTGAGTTTTGTCTTCAAAGCTCTGAGTTGCTGTTTTCTGAATCCCGTCCTCGTGTGGGTTCATGACTGGCCAGATTGCTTTGGTTTCAGCAAATCACATAATACTTGTGGGGCAAATCTTCCCCCATTCTTTCTTTTTAAAGTGGTAGGGAGAAGAGGCCACCCTCCAGCCTTGGGTGTGGAGAACTGGCTGAGAACCCAGGGCTGAGCATCTGGCTGGACAAGCTTGAGCTGGGCACACGTGTGGCCAGTTTATTTTATTCTGAAAGCCAGAACTCTATTAAAATAATATATGTGGCTTTCTTGATTTTTGTTACCCATTTTTTATTTCATCAACCTTCTCCTTTTTGATGTTGTGTATGTAAATGAGATGGACCTAATACAGAACACAGACTGTGGCTCCATCAGGAACTCAGGCCCAGTGACCCTTTCTGAATCCCAAGTTGTATTTATTGTCTATTCCAGATTTTAAACTTTCACATGGCATCAGCTGTTGATAGAATCTTCTAATTTTGGAACCAGGTATAAGTTACAGGACATTTATAAAAAGTGTGTTTAAAAACTGGATTTTTATAAAACGACTCACAAAGATAGGGCACAGATGGAACGTACCTGCTGTGATAGTACTGCAGACTAAATCCAGCTGTTCTCGAGCGAGTTGCGTTTCTGTCTCACAGCGTGGAGATTTTCAGAGAACCCAGCGTGTCTCTGGGCATCAGCATCGTTGGTGGACAGACGGTCATCAAGCGCTTGAAGAATGGTGAGGAGCTGAGGGGCATATTCATCAAGCAGGTCCTGGAGGACAGCCCAGCGGGGAGGACCAGTGCACTAAAAACCGGAGACAAAATCCTCGAGGTAGTGATGTTGAAATGCTGTTTGTGTTGAAACTCTCTTTTATTTTTTGAGATAGGGTCTCACTCTGTGGTCCAGCCTGGCCTTCAGCTTGCTATGTAGCCCAGCTGGTTTCTGACTCATGCATGGGGTTCTCCTGTCTCAGCTTCCTGAGTACTGAGGTTACAGGTGGGGGCTATCACACCTGGCATGCCAGAAATATTTTTAAGACAGTAAAATAAATCATTTGGTCAGAAAACGTGTGTTCACACATTGATGTGTGTATACAATGGGTGTCTTTTTTCTGTGCCTTAGTTTGTATGCTGTGTGCACAATTTGTGAGTCTCTGCAGTGTAGGGAGGGAGCAAATGAAATGATAAAATACAGCCTCGAGGGTATGGAAGACAAATACAAAATGCTTTGTGTAGCCTGGGGCAGGTCCAGCGCTCACCAGTGAAAGCGGAGTCCTGGGACGCTGCTCCCTGGAGAAAGGAGGAAAGCCAGGAGCCCCAGGGTGGGTTTGTGGGGAGCTCAGTGCCAGGCAGGCATAGTGCAGCTGAGAGGTGCCCTGGGGCCTGAGCGGGACTCACCTCTGGGCCTGGTGTGATTGACACTGTGCTGGAGCCTGCACCAGACCCACTCGTTCCCACTTGTGACATGGACAGTGGTCGTCGCCCAGTGCCTTGGCCCGAGGCCCGGAAGGGCTCTGGAGGTTGAGTTGGAATCTGCACTCGGACTCTTAGTCTGTATTTGTTTAGGACAAACACTAGGTCCCCTTTCTTCTTAACTTCCACGTAAAATGGAAGTGAGGCTTCCAAGCTGGAAACATCATTGCGGGACCAAGCTGAGCCAAGGACCACATGAAGCCGCTGGGGGCGGGGCAAACCTGGCTACAGAGGTCAAGATTCCTGGGCACCAGAAATGCTTCAGGCTTTGGAGTTTCCAGGTTTGGGAACACATGCACATAGGAGATGAAGAGTCTTGGAGTTGGGACCACAATCTGAACCTAGAATTCATTTAGCACTTCATCTCCGCCTCACACCATGCCCAAAAGCACCCGTGTGCTGCGCGCCCAGCCCGTGGTGAGGGGCTTTCCTCTCCAGCGTCTGGCCGATGCTCGCAAAGCTTCAGAGTGTGGCTTTTCGGTTGAAGGATGCTTTAAACACACTGGCAGTATGGCAGTGAGAAAAATGACCAAACCTCCTAACCTCTGTGTTACGTGATATCGTGGAAGGGAGAGAGTAAAACAAAACGGTGTGTGAAATACTGAACCGTGGTGATTGGGAGGCAGACACAGCACAGGAAGAGATGGATGCTGGGAGGTGCAGACACAGTGTTTGCTGCTTTTAAAAAATGAAAAACAACATATGTCACATGAAGCCTCTCTGCAGTGGCTCCCTAGACGTTAAAGGGGCCCAGTGAGGAAAAAGTGCAACGCAGAGGAGCAGAAGCAAACCTCAGAATCTTCCTTTGCACAGCATTGTTCGTTCCTTGGATGGCCCATGTTAAAAAGCCTGTGCGGTCATCCACAAATTGGTCTAACGGTGCAAGGCATCTGGCTGAAAAGAGACAGCTGGTAGCCAGCTGTGACCCCGGAGTCCACAGGCCTCTTGGGTGGTCATGAGATGAGGACAACGCCAGTGGCATGAGGACACCCATGGCAGAAATGCAGATCAGCGCAAATCAGCGCCGGAACATGGGGGAACGAGAGGATGCAGCCCTAGGGATGGGTGGAGGGAGGTTCCAGCCAGGGAGGACTCAGGTGCAGCTCCCCCCGTGGGAAGAATGGCAGGAAGCACAGGGTTGCGTGAAGGAAGGAGGCAGGGCCCCAGCAGGGTGTCCTTGATGAGGGGGAGCTATACCCGGAGAACTGCAAGGTCTGGGCAGTCGCCTGCCTGGCCGGTGGAAATGGCTGAGGGTTCTGAGCTGCACCCACTGTGTAGAGGAGGATCCGGTTTCCAAGTTGGGGAACCCTCACAGAAGATGGTGGCCCTGACTTAGTGGGGGACAGGAGCGGGGGAGAGGGTTAGCAGCCTGCGGGTCTGTTGAGGGCAAGCCTCCGGATTTTCTAGCAGATGGGAGGCAAAGCAGGAGAGCCAGAGACAACCTCAGGCTCTTTAGCCTAGAGTCCACCGGAGATTCCCGCCCAGTGCTGGGCTCTGTTGCTGGGGTCTGCGGGCCCTGCTGCAGGTCACAGAGGCCCTGGGCATGCGTCCCACCCCTGGGGCAGAGAGGCTGTGCCCTCATCACCTGTGAGACCTTCACTTTGGGGTTAGGAGTCCACCCCCACTTTTTGGGGGACAACAGCATTGAGACTGCAGTGACTGCGTCCGTGGCTTGGACTCAGCTGTGTCAGCTGTTCACCCTGGGAAGGCACCAGGCATTTCTTGTTACTCTCGGTGACAAACACAGCTGCCACAAGCACTTAGGGGATGTGGATTCCTGAGTGAGAATTGTTCTTCGTCGCTCTGGGATGCGTGTGCAGCAGCATCACTGCCCGGTTTCATGGTCAGCCTGGTGCTGGTTCTGAGAGGACCCCTCAGCCTGGGCTCCCCGAAGTGTGGACAAGTGGGACAGCCCCCCCTGCGTCCTCAGCCACTCGCCGGTGTCACTGTCGCCGTTGGGTCACTCTGTCGGGCCTTGCACTGTGTCCAGGTGCGCCTGACTTGCATTTCCCTAGTGGCTGCCTCAGAAGGGACGGCCCTGGTCCTTCCCCCGTCTGTGTCCCCGCGGTGACTCCATGCATCTTCTGTGTGTTTTCAGTGGAATATTTGCTGCTTTATCTCTTTGAATTTTGTTGTCCTGCATTTGTTTCTATTGTTGATTTAATAAACAACATCCTCACACTTACCTGTCACTAGTTTTATGTGCAGTGACAAAACCCTAAGTTTTCCCTTAGGTTTAAGCACTTAGCTTTTCAAACTCACAGTTCACTTGAAAGCTCACACTTAATCTTTTGTTTACTTTTTTCCTCTGAAAATTATTATGAAGGGATTTTCTTGGTTTTAAGTAAAACCTAGTAATCAGTTCTGAATGGTTTAGATCCATAAGAAGAATTTTTTAATCCAGGAAGTTAGAATTTAATTTCTTACAAATGGATCTTTGTGTGAAGGGATGAGCTTTTGAGTTATAATTCTAAAGTTGAGGAAAATCTAAGCTTATTGTTGTACTGTGATAGAATCCGTTTTTTTCTAACTTCAGTAGTTCCACTCATCCCTGTGGAAATCTGTCGGGAAAACCCTCTGTCCCTGCTCTCTGTCCCTGGAAAGGAAGGCAGGGGCCCAGAGTGTTACTGTCCCAACTGCCCCACATCCCGATGTTAACCTAGGCTTGGCTGCACACGGAGTGGCCTTTGTTCAGTAGGCCTTGTAGTTCAGTAGTCCAGTGGCCTGTAGTTTAGGCTTGTTTAGTACACACAGAGTAGCGTTAGAGTAACATGGAGATGCTAGCAGTTAGGTTCTCCACATTTCTATGATAAGGAGCCTTACATGGGTAATCAAAGGTATAGAACACTTTCAGTGAGAGAGCCTACTGTATTGGTACTTGTTTTTTAACACAATATGAGAAATGGTCAACCTCTAAGTTACGATAAGTCAGTCTGTTTAAGATATCCCCCTCAATTTTGTAGACAGTAGAATCCCAAGGGAGTGCCCTGCCCCACCCCACTTGGGACCATGTGTAGTGCTAATGGCGGAGGTGACAACACGGGCTGTGTCACACACAACACGTCATTTCGCAGTTGTCTCACAGTGGAGTTTGCGGTATAAACTGCCAGTGCTGCACATAACTTCACCTGAGCTGTTGCTGATGATGTTTTGTCCTGCGACTTTTCCTGATGGAGCACCATCGCTTTTCCCTACGTGTATGGGTTCTCCTGAGGCAGCACAGTGTCGCACAGCAGCCTCAGTCTTTTCTGGCTGTGGGCTCCTCGTGAGGCCCTGTGACCTTTGAGTCAGCGTCCACAGCCTCTGGGGCCTCCTCAAATGACTTTCTCCTATGTGTCAGGTGTCCGGCGTGGATCTGCAGAATGCCACCCACCAAGAGGCCGTCGAGGCCATCAAGAATGCGGGGAACCCTGTGGTGTTCGTTGTTCAGAGCCTCTCGTCCACACCAAGAGTAAGTTCTATTCTTCATTTTCGAAAAGTTTAATAATATCCGCTGTTCCTGTGGGTCAAGCTTTGGTCTCCAAATAGTTTCCCATCTATTTTCATTTGAAGTAACACGACATACACAAGTTTAGCTCTGAGCTTTCAGTCCATAGGCAGCTGGCTCCAAGGCGGGAAATCATGACAGAAGCGCCTGGTGGAGTATGCTGCTCACCTCATGGTGGCCAGGAAGTAGAGCAGGCAGGAGCAGAGCCCGAGGGGGTGCTGGGGACAGGACACACCCTTCAGAAGCGTACCCCAGTGACCACCTTCTTCCTGCTGTGCCTGGTTGATTTTGTCTCTGGTTTCTGGTAGAGAGCTCCTAAATCTCTTAGAATTTCTTGTTGAAAAATCTTATGTTCTGATGAGGTCACTCCTGGTGGGCTTCTATAGATGCAGGTTAGGAGCTGGCTGCCAGCGGGAACCAGTCATGTGATTAGAGGGTTGGAATTTTCAGGACTCTCTCACCTGAATCTTTGGAGATTATTTCGATCAATGATCAGTGATGTCACCAATCATGTTTATGCTTTGAAGTCTCCATAAAAACCTTAAAGAAACTGGATTCAGAGAGCTTCTTGATAGCTGAACACATGGAGACACCTAGGAGGAGGCACACCTGAAGAAGGCATGAAATTTCCATTTCCTTTCTCGCACACCTCTTCCATCTGGCTGTTCGTGTGTATCCTTGGCAATATCTGCTTGGCGGGCAACGGTGACGCGCTGCGGGTCTGTGGAAGCGCAGACGCAGCTGGCGGATGCAGGAACCCAACCCTGTGTCCGTGGGCCATCGCCACTCCCACCTTCCGCTGCCACCTTAAGGGAAGCTCCCCAAAACATTTCAGGCATTCTGTCTCAGCCCAGCCTCAGCTGGTCCCTCCACAGGAAAAGTAGGCCCAGTGTGGCTTTGTTTTAAAATTCCTCAGATAGGAATGCTGGCCAGGATCCCAACACTTGCCTCGGTTTTTGTGTGCACAGAGTAGAGGCATAAACACCCAGTACATGACGGCCTTCAGGTTGGGGGCCCTGAGGACCTAAGAGCACCTCTTACTGGAGTGACACATTCCTGAGACTTCCCCATTTGTTCTGAGTTAATTCTTTAACATAGTAAAAGTGGAGACAATTTCATCTCAACTTGCCTGTAGAGGAAGCAGAAATCTGTTTTGTTTGGTGTCTCTTTCTCTGGGCAGGTGGTTCCTTTAGTTTTCTGGAAGAGGAGATTAGCTTTTTCTTTCAGTTGTCACGTCTGTCACCAGATTTTATGCCAAGACTTTGTGTTAGCCATTTGAAGAGGCTTGAAAAATGACTAAAAATAGTATACTTCCCTTAGATGTTTCCTAGTTTTACAGAAAGAAATGAGCCCAAAAGTAATCTGTACTGTTGGCATCATTAAAGATTAAAATTATCTTTATAAAATTTAACTTCATAAATTTATAAACATTTATTGAGCAAACTATACATCAGGCCCCTTCTGAGCACCACGGAAGGATAGAAAATACTGAACTAAGCTCCTGCCGTACTGAGCTTCTCAGTGGTGGAGGTGAGTTTGTGACGATGCGATCTCCTGAGCACATGCAGCACGCTGCATGACAAACTCTTCCTGAAACACAGGGATGAGGTGAGTCTGCCCAATCAATGCTATTTCCTACTCTAGGAAATTAACTAATGTCACCATTGGAACTGCAGAGTGAGATGTCTGGGTGATGGCCGTGTAACCATAGTCTTCTTGATCTTCATTTTCTGGACCCACACAGCAAATGTGTAATTTTACAAAATGTTATGGATTATGTCTTGTCAGATTTCTGAAATATTAACCCTTGCCTTGAGTGTGACCTTCTTATCTCTAGACAAAGTCACAAAGTTGAGGGAAAAGTACAGGACAAAGGTGGGCGTGTGGCTCGGTGAGCACTTGCCTATCAAGGGTGAGGCCCTGAGTTAGGTCCCAGCACAGGTGCACACCTGAGTGCACATACACGCACATACACACGCACACCAGTGAGAAACGCAGTGACTGAGGCCTCTGCACTTATGCTTGGTCCCCCCCTTCTTTGTGGTGTAGGTCATTCCTAGTCCTCATAACAAGGGCAGCAAAGTGGCCAACACCCCGGACCAAGACACCAAAGAAAAGAAGGAAAAGGTAAATGGTGCCTCCCGGCTTCTAAAGATGTCTGCTTCTGTTCGCGTGTCTGAGCTGTAACTGGAGACGGGCTTGAAGGGTGTCTGTGTAGACGTCTGTGTGCATCTGTCCTCTCGGTGCCCTGGTTCTCACCAGGACTATGGCCAGAAACCTGGTGACGCACAGGTATAAAAAGGGGACGAGCCAACCGTTGCCATGCCACGCAGGTCCGAGTCCTGCTGAGCAGGGCCCCCGCCACATCTGGCGCAGCTGAGACCAGCCTCGCCGTCTCCCGGGCTAGGAGGTCCCCTCCCATGCTGCTGCCCCCTGCGAGTCCTCATTCCCCTCCCCCAGGAAACTCCTCTTCCAGTCAGAATTGGCCACCTCCTTGGGATCCCTCTTTTGGCTTAACTGTTATTTTAGGATCTTGTGTCAGATAAGAATGAAATCTCATTTTTTCCCATAAAGATAAATAGTATCTAACCCTTTTGTAGTAGGGCCCCCTTTAGCCATCATCTTGAAGTGCATCCCTCTCCTGCCTCAGTTTATCAGCTGGGGTGGGTCTATGTCTTTGTTTGGTCAGTGTGTCTGTCCATGTACATGCTCCATACCCACATGGTTGCACTTTATAGTGAATCTTGTCTTCTGGGAAAGCAGTTTCTTTCATACCTTCTTCTAAAGCTTTGTCTATGTGTGGCCTTTCCTGTATAAATTTAGAATCACCTTTCAGCTGGCTTTTTTTTTTAAATTTTATTTTTTTGTTTTTTTTCCGGTATTGGGAATCGAACTCACAACCTTGTGCTTGCCAGGCAGGCGCTGTGCCACTGAGCTAAATCCCCAGCCCCATCGGTTGGAATTGTGTTGAATCTATAGATTATTTTTTTTAAAAGTTGGCTCTTTCTTTCTTTCTTTCTTTCTTTCTTTCTTTCTTTCTTTCTTTTTGGTTTTTCTTCGGTACTGGGAATCGAACTCACAACCTTGCGCTTGCCAGGCAGGCGCTGTGTCACTGAGCTAAATCCCCAGCCCCTGAAGTTGGCTCTTTCTGATGTTGTATTTTCTGTTTGTTGCTAGTATGCAGTCGTAAAACTAATCTTCGTATATGTATCTGGTATCTTATAACATCATTCTGTTATTCTTTCATAACAAAACTGACTAGTGCTAAAAGCTGGCAGCACAAAAATGCTGATATTATAAAGAAAAAAATAAAAATCCCTTGCAAAGCTCACCATCTAAAGATGAACTTTTTGCATATTTCATATATGGCCTCTAGTCTCTTTATGTACTCCATAAATATATATAAAGTATGTTTAATAAGAATGTGAATCTCACATTCTAATGCTATGTCTATAGATTTTCATTTTGAGATTTTCTGTACAGATAATAGGTATTTTGAAAAAGATTGCTTTATTTCTGTCTTTCCAATATTTCTTATTTTATGATATCTGCTAAGATTTTCAGTTACATATTTAAATGGAAGTAATGAAAATGATAGAAACATTCTTGTTTCTTCCTTTTTGATAGTTAAGGAATTATTTATATTGTGTCACTGTGGAGTATGCTGTATGCTAAAGGGATGTGTAGGTAATCCCTCAGGTTAAGGAGTCTTTCTCTTTCACTTTTGTTTTACTAAGAATTCCTCCTATAAATAGTTTGTCATTGAATTTTATACAGTTTATTATTCACTGAGGTAATTGTGTTTTTGTGTATGCAATTTTTTTCTCAATGAATCCTTTAATATGGTAAATTGCATTAACAAATTTTAGAATGTTGAGCCAACATTGAATTCATGGGTTAAACTTAATCTGACCATGATCTATTTTTGCCCTTTACTAGTATAATTTCTTTTTTTCTTTTTTTTTTTTAAATTTCTTTCATGTGTTTTGCATCCATGGTCACACATGTGATTAGTTTGAGTCTTGGTTGCGCTAACTATTAAAATGCACAGTAGTAGAAGTATTTGTCTTTCATCTTCCTACAGTGTGTGTATAAAGTGGTTATAACTAATTCCTTCATTGCTTGTCCAGTAGGCACATAGGTCTGTCTTCCATGTGGGAAAAAGTACAGTGCTGATTTGGTTCTTTAGGAATTACAGAACTATTCAGAGTTTCTGTTTTTCCTAGAGTTAACTTTGGCCGTGGTCTTGTTTCTAGGAATACCAGGTAGCGCCTTACTTGTTCACATTTGTGGGCATGAAGTCATTCTGTCTTCTCTTTCCTTACTGTCTCTTCTTCATCTAGTGCTTTTATTTCTGAATGTAGTTAATTGCTTACATCTTCCTTCCTTCCTTCCTTCCTTCCTACCTTCCTTCCTACCTTCCTTCCTTCCTTCCTTCCTACCTTTCTTTCTTTCTTTCTTTCTTTCTTTCTTTCTTTCATTCATTCATTCATTCATTCATTCCTCTTTCTGTCTTTTTGAGACAGGGTCTCGCTATGCAGTTCAGGCTGGCCCTGAGCTCACTTCGTAGTCCAGGCTGGCTTCAAAATCACAACAGTCCTCCTGCCCCAGCCTCCCAAGTATTGGGATTACAGGCATGCACCACCACACCTGACTACATTTTTCTTGATTAATCTTAAAAGCAATTTTTCATTTAATTCTTCTTTTTGAAAAATTAACCTGTAAACTGTGTTGGCCTTCTGCCTTGTATTATTTTTCTACTTAATTTCATTCTCATCTTTATATTGTCTTATTTCTTTCTTTTTTTTTTTTTTTTTGGTTTTTCTCTGGTACCGGGAACCGAACTCACGACCTTGCGCTTGCCAGGCAGGCGCTTTGCCGCTGAGCTAAATCCCCAGCCCCTGTCTTATTTCTTTCTTTGGGTTTATTTTTCCATCCCCAAGAAATCTTTACTTACTTGCAAAGCTGATTAATATTTCCTTTTCCTTCTTTTCTAAAAGAAGCACCTAAGACCATAAATTTTCTTCTAAGTCTGTGTTGCACGCATCTCAATATTTTATGTTCAAGCCAGGCATAATGAATAGGGTGGGGGTGGAGGCAAGAGGTCACTACGAGTTTAAGGCCAGCCTAAACTGTATAGTGAGACCTTGTCAAAAAATAAATGAAAATGGTGATATTTTTAGTTGAATATCTATTATTCAGTAATGTCTTTTAGACTTCAGCATGAATTCTCTTTTGCTGTAGTTTTATTTAGAAACATGTTTTTAAATGTTCATTTGAATGTTTTAAAAGAGTTTTTTATTTGTAATTTATTTCCATTATAATCAGAATTTGTGTAATATTAATTCTTTGACATCCCGTTGACTTTTTTACTGACTAGTACATAGCTGATTTTTGTAAATGCTTCATTTGTGGTTAAAAAGAGTAGCTATTATCTATTTATTGGGTACAGGCTTTTAAACTTTTTTTATGTCAAATTAATTGAGTTATTCAGATACAGTACTGAACATACTATACTTGTTTTTCTTAGCATGACTTAGTGAGTGTTCATTTTGATGGTAAAATTAATTTTTTTTTGGTACCGGGAATCAAACTCAGGACCTTACACTGGCCAGGCAGGCACTTGTTCCACTGAGCTATATCCCAGGCCCTTGATGGTAAAATTAGACTTTCTTCAAATCATTTTTTATTTTTGTTCTACATGTTTTCAGATTAATTTCTTACGTGCTTTGTGTTCTTCGGGAGTTGGCACTTGTAGTGTGTAGTAATCACTTAACCTGTACTACTTCTGAGACTGCGAGAAGCACACTGGCTTGCTTTTTTGTATCTGCCTGGTGTTTTAGCTCAGGATTTTTTGAACTACTCACATGAAGTGAGCCCAGGTCTGCACCTCGGGGCAAGTCTCTCCTTGAACAGAATCCCAGGGGACAACTTTTTTCCTTTGCTCTTCCATTTCTAGCTGAGACCAAGGTCAGTAAATATCTCTGCTGTCTTCTGTGATCAGGATTTTGGTTTGTTTAGCTTAACTGTTTTTCTCTTCATTCCCTGTGGATTTAAAAGTTAAAAAGCCATAATTGAAGCAGACCCTGGGGAAAACTTGGAGAGGTGAACAGGGGTCATCATGACAGTGACGCAGATCCAGGCAGGTTCTTGAAAGGAGCATACAGCACTAGATTGTTAACCAGAGGGAAGGCTCATCTGCACCTCGTTGGCCTCTGTCCTGGGGTTCACAGCTTGATCAGGAATTTCACATTAACTGCAGGATTTGGGGTAGCAGATTCCCTGGTTTCTCCTTGGTGGCTGCAAATAAGCACAGCTAAGGGAGACCAGGTCACTGCTGGCAGGAGCCTTAGGTAGGACAGCTGCTGGAATCCCCAGCGGACTCCTTCCCAAGCTTCCAGGGGGGCTGCTTTATCCTTAGAGATGGGGTTTAGGAGCGTAAATGTGGAGGAGCCATTGCATGATAATGTGATGGAAGAGTCTAGGTAACACAGTCTGTTGTCGCAGGAACCAGACCAGGGCTCCCGAACACTGGGGCCGGGGGGAGGACGTAGGGAGAGGGGCTGAGAGAGGCAGGAGGACTCATCTTCTGGGCTGTGCGGAGGGCCTCTGAGCTTACCAGCTGTGCACAAGTGCAGGTTCCTGTGGACCAGTTCTGCCGCAGCGGAGTGCACCGAATCTTCAGAGACAAACAGAAATCTCTGTCCTCTCCAGCCCGGCATTGTAGGATGGCAGGGCCAAGGAGAGAGAATCCAGCGGCTGCCTTAAAGGTGGTTTGGGGACAAGGCAAAAGACCCATGTGATACGGCACTAGAGAGGCCCCAGACTGTTGGCTCTGTGAGGGTAGGGACACATCCACCTTGCTGTCCTGTCCCAAGACCCAAATCCTCCCCAGAGCCTGTGGTAGGCTGGACATGGGAGGAAAGGGGCAGGTGTCTGTCTCTGGGGCCCAAAGATGATGCCTTGCGAGGAGGGACTATAAATGGCAGCTTAGGAAGTCAGGAAACTCCCTCTAAGATCCCGGGAGCCAGTGAGCGGCCCACTGCGTTAGTCCCAGGTGTTCCCCCTGTGTGCAGTGAGGACCCCAGGGGTCCAGGCAGTCCAAGGTGAAGTCTGTCCAGTGGGATCCTAGTTACACTGAGGAGCAGCTCACTCCTGAGGTGCCAACGGGGAGGAATCCCAGGGCATCCGCGTCCCCGCCCCACACAGCATGTGGGTCCTCACAGCTCTGAACCACACCTGCCCTGCTCAGCAGTACACTCCGTTCCTAAAGGCAAAGCACTTTCCCGTGGTGAGAGCAAGGGTAACGCAGTGAACAGAAGTGCAGTTAGTGTGCTGATTCCAGGGCACTGCCCTTCCACGTCAGGAGGCTCAGGTGGTGACTAGTCTAGCTCTTCAGAAGTTATTATCGCTGGAAGTAACGGTTTTATACTGTTCTTTGTTTTTAATTCCCCCCCCCCCCCGCTTTGCACTGGGCAGTGAACTCAGGGCTTTGCACATTTTGACAAATGCTATATACTGAGCCACATCCCTAGCACCCTTTTTAAATTTTGAGACTAAATTGCCCTGACCTTGGACTTGGGATCCTCCCAGCTCAGCCTCCCAAGCATCTGGGATTACAGGCATGTGCCCCCATATCTGGCAAGGTTTTCTTTCCTAGGGACCCAACACATGTTCAAGTACAAAAACACAAGCAAGCCAGCGAGAGCGCCTGGCACACACATTCTGTGTTGTGTCAAACGGTAGAGATCAGATCCCCAGGGAACGCGCGTAAAGTAGATTGCAGCCTCCTAGCAAGCACCCCCAAGTGGCCAGGACAGAAAACCAACCTCCATCCATCCCCACTTCCTGCTGTTATGAATGCACAACCAGAGCCTAGGTCACAGCCCGAGTGTGCCCCAGGGCCACACGCGACCCAGTATCAGAAACAAAAACAGAATTGGAAATAAAAAGCAAAGAAATAGGTTTTTTTTTTAAAAAGGCAAGGTTCTGTTATCTGTTGAAGTTTACTTTACTCTGGGAGCCAAGAAATCACGTGCATGGGCTGACACAGCTCCTCAGCTGCACCGCTAAGGTCCACAGTGCAGTTGGTTCTGGAAGGGGAGCCCGCTCCCAAACCGCCAGAGTATAATTTAGGAAGAAGTAAAAGTTCAGCTCCTAGTTATATGCCTCGTGCAAACCCAGGTGTTTGCGGAACTCACGAAAGAGGGCAGTGCCATGCAGTGTTTGTGAGTCGGAGGAAGGGCCCTGGCCGTCCGTGGCCAATACCAAGCTGGCTGACGGTGGCGGGGCGGGGGACCTGACCCCTGCAGCTGGGTCTCTACAGAACTAAAGAGGTTTGCATCTCCGAGGTGAACCTGGGTGCTGCTGCACCAGAACCGTCTGTATCACTGCCGTCTGCCTGAGGTTTCCCTGTCGGGGGTCCAGGTGGCACAGGGACAAGCGGTAGCACAGTCGCTCAGGCCACTCTGCCAGACGCTCCCGGGACCAGGCCGTCCTTAGAGGGGAGGTGCTGGGGTGAGGCGCGTCCTTTGCCCTGTGGGGTGGCAACACCTGCCTGACTGTGTGCCCCTTGCTGTCCCAGGCAGCCAGGGCCCAGCCATGCTCTTTCTGGGCCCAGCAGGGCATCATACTGCTCTTTCAAGGGGACACGTAGGGCCTCTAGGAAGCCAGATGCAACCGCAAGCGGCTTCCCTAGGGTGGACCTCCCAAGCGCTGCTCACAGGAATTCCAGTCTCTGGGTGTGATTTTCAGCTCTGTCCATGCTCGCAGAAGTCTGTGATGTCAGACAAACCTGATTCTGAGAAAAAAGGGCTCCAGGAAATAAATGGTTTGCTTTTTCTCTTCATTTGATTTACATGTTTCTCAGTTTGAAAGCCTTGAAGAGTCACCATGATCACATTCTTGTGTTGCTGTTTAATAAGCACTTCTTCTTTGGTATCTTTTCTTCATCACTCTGTGTCTTATGATTTTGGGATTTTCTACAAATACATAGAGCTACTGCTTTGATTAGACAGTATCTTGAATAAATACATGTGTTCTTGGATGAGTCCCAACCACTGTCTTTCTTCCGTTCTGGAGGAATTTCTCCCATGCCTGCTCCCTGGAGTGGACCCGCTTCCTGGGCGATACCCATTAGTGGGCTTGTCCTTTGAGGCATAATTGAATGCACTTGAAGCAGCAGCAAAACAAGCCTTACCTCAGCGGTGCAGGCGCTGTGAGGCTTCAGCAGTCACTTCTGGGCTCTGCAGCAGCGTGCCGCTCTTGTGAAGTCGGGCATGTTTTTTTTTTCTCCACATGTAAGAAAATGTCTCCATTCTGTGAAGGTAATCAGATCATAGAGCTGTATTCTACTTTAATTCTATAGATCAAGTATTATTGTGCTTTATCATTTGACATGCAAATGAAAAACATTTATACAGAAAAAATTACATAGTTTCTTTTTTAAACATTAAAATATGAATTGACCATCTACAGAATATGCCTTTCTAATTAGAAAATCTTGATATTTTATTTCAAAATTTTTAAAGGATAAAATCTGTAACTTTAATGGAAGAAAGAATTTAAATAATTGCAAAACTAGTGTATCAGACAGTTTTTACTTTTAGTTTTTTCTAAAGAAATGTCTTTCTTATAAATAAGTTTGTTACTAACAAGGTTGTGCTTCACAGCTTAAAGAAAATGCAGGTCCCTGGCAATTCCCTCTCCCCAGGGAAGGGAATGCATTCTGGGAAGGTCAGCAGCCTTCAAAGTTGTGCCTCTGAATTCTTGTGTCTGCTTCAGTGTGTTTACATCTGAGCTCTTTTATAAAACACAGAAAGCCTAAGAGCATAATTTCTATTTGTAATCTTCAAGTTAAGAACGAAGTTGGCTACAGTGAAAATCTCTCCAGGTGATCTTTTCACGCATGTGGAGAGGAGAATCACCCAGGTGCAGCTAACACTTCTCCCCAATTCTGCATCTCCAGAGGCAAGGAGCAGCCCCGCCGCCGATGAAGCTGCCTCCCCCGTACCCAGCCCCAGCTGAAGCTGAGGAAGAGGAAGTGGAGCCCACGTGGCCCGACAGTGAGTACAGCACATCGCCGGGCAGCACAGTGCACTGTTAGGCTCTGAGGGCTGCTCTCGTGGGCAGACGTGGACCGTGGGCCCCTCAGTATGCACAGACCTGTGCTAGGAAGGAAAATCTGTCTTCAAAACTCCGAGGGCCTGTTCCAAGCTTTTCTCTGTACCACTGGCAGAGCGAGTCTTCAAGGAAGCTGCATACACCCTGCTTTACTGTAGCCCTCTGCTCTGACTCCACGTCATCCTGGGGCTGGAGTCTGACCGTGACAGTCGAGCGAGGCATGGTGTCAGCGTGGTCCCTTCCCTCACTTAGGCGATGTTGACAAGGCAGCATGGCCACGCCTCACATCCATCCGTGGGAATTCATGGTTTCCTTTGAAACTAGCTGAATCCATTATGCGTCTTTACATGTATTTAGTGGAGACTTTATTTCAAAGAATTGGCATGTCTTTATGCATGGACAGTGTAGAGGGTGAGGTCTGATTGCCATTGCTGTGGAATTGTTCGGGGTGATGGGCACACAGTTCAGGAATGTGCCGAAAACTGCTGAGCTGCATTTCCATGAATGGATTTTGGAAGTGGGGAATATAGATGTCTCCTGAAAGCAAATTCCCTTTCTGTGACACGGAGCAGGGTTTTGGTGTAGAAGCTGGAAGAGCTGACTTCTGCGTGTGCCCTGGTGCCACATGCGCCCTCCTCGCGGCCCCTGCTCCCAGCATGGTGGGGACTGTGGTCCACAGCGAGCCTTTGCCGGCCACACAGGGTACTTGCACAGGTGTTTGCGCTCCCTTGTCGCTAATGATTATTACTAAGGTCACTTCACATTTAAAAATATAATACAGAAATAAAATGCACGAATACACACAACTATAGTGCTCAGCTTGGCTTTGAAAAACTTGGTTTGTCCTGTGCAGCCTTCCAGGGCCCTTTTTCATGATTTCTCTTTGTTTTTTGAACAAATCTTGGTTGAATATCGTCTGCATTTAGAAACTGTATTAATGGACCTGTCACAAATTAAACCAGCGCCCTTCATCTCAGGGTCTCTGCTGATCTGGCTGCCGGGCTGTGGTCCTTGGCCTCTGTGGGGAGGCACACATGGTAGTCACCAGTGCTGTGTGTGACTGGGGTGCCGGCGTGGCCCTAGTGCCGTGCGGAATGTGGGTGGCCATGGGTGACGCGGTTTCCAGGTCTGGGAGGCCGGGGTTTGCCGGGTTACTAGGAAGCCCAGTGTAGGTTGCATCGAGGGCTCAGGGTCTCCCGCTCTACTACTCGGGCCTGTGTTTGGAGGCTTTGTTTACCCTCTTCGGGCTCCCGCTTGCTCATCAGTGAGCTCACACAGGCTGTTCTCCAGCCCTCTCCCTGGGACCGGGAAGGCCAGAGGTGTCCGAAGAGCTCAGGGTAGGAGTGAGGCTTGTGCCCCTGCCAGCACCATTCTGAGGCCTGTGAGTGTGTTAACAGTTCAGTCACCTCAGTGCGGCTCTGACTGTATAATCGGGATGCTGAGGCTCAGAGGGATTAAGGAGCGTGGCTGAGTCACACAGCTTATGAGTGGAGGACTGAGACTCACAGCCAGGGATGGGGGAGTAGAGCCCATCCCGCCGTCACCTACACCGCTGTACCTGCGGCACAGACAGGCATGGGCGTGGAGTGGCACGAGCTGCCTCATGAAAGACACTTCGAAGCCGTGAGGTCGAGGGCACATCAGCTGGTGGACATAGAGTCGCCTTTGCAGCAGCAGGATTAAGACAGCACTATCAGGGGCTGGGGATTTAGCTCAGCAACACGGCGCCTGCCTAGCAAGTGCGAGGTCGTGAGTTCGATTCCCAATACCAGAAAAAAACAAAAAAAAAACAAAAAAAAGGACAACACTGTCTACAATGTGAGCCAGAGGCCTCCTGGGAACTTCTGCCTGTACTGTCTACAGGTCCAGCTTCCCCAAGCCTGTTCGGCTGTGTAGACACCTCCCCTGGGGTTCCCTTCCTATCCCCGTACAGTGTGGAGCCTGGAGAACTCAGAAGTTCAAGTTCACGGTCCAGATGCAGGCAGGCTGCTGCAAGCCTGCTTTCTGTGTCCTCTGGAAAGGACCTCATGGGTTCTTCTCTGTTCCTTAACCCGTCCTAAATTAATGTGCTGGTCCTCACCAAAACGAAAGGCACTTAGGACACTGTTCTGTCAGATTTGCACCTTCTGAAGGTGAATCATTTATTTGTGGTGAATAAATGCAATTGTACAACTCCCCTGGACCCTCAGTCCTGGAGTGGGCGGCTGGTATGCAATTCTCAGAGGAGCTGGCTCGGGCCATAGGCATGAGATGGGCGTGGCTTGGAGCCGGGAAAGGCTGTATGGTTGCTGTACAGCACAGCGGGCGTTACGGGGCTGGACGTGACCTCTGGCCTTGGGAATGGCAAGGAAGGCAGACGGATAGCCTCCTTGGGGAGAAAGACTGTAGAAAGAAGAGAGTTTAAACAGTGACGAGTGCTGTAGCTAAAGTAAAATAGAAAATAACTACGCTAAGGGGGGCTAAGGCAGGAGGACTGCAAGTTCCAGACTTTCCTGGGCAACTTAGTGAGACTGTTTCAAAATTAAAAATAAAAAGGGTTGGGTACGTCGTTCAAGGTGAAGGCCCTAGTTTGAATACACAGTGCTACAATAATAATTAATAATAATAATTTAAAACGTAAATAAAATACAAAAAAGTCTTATGAAAATAAGTGCATTGGATGAGGCAGTATTGGAATGGCTAAGAAAGGCCAATGTAGGAACTTAGCGAGTGGTCTGGGTGCTGTGGTCATTGTGTGGAGCAAATGTTTTGAGACCGTGAGCCATGGAAGCAGCTCTTCTGTGTAACAGTCGGTGTGCACAGGGACCTTTATGCAGGACTGCAACAAAAGGTTTGTAAAATACCACCTTCACAATATGGTGGATTTTATTATTTTTCTATCGCATTTCATTTATAAAATGCTAATTGCAATTAAATTGATTTCATGAGTTGCAACAAATGAATTATGTCCTACATAGTTGAAACACTCATCTAGAGCAGAGGTTTGCTTTCTTCAGAGTGAATCCGAAGCCTGGAAGGGCAGGAGCCAGTGGGCCCCACCTGTTTCTCATTCCTGAAGTCTGGGAGGTCCCCAGGTTCACCGGCTAGTTAGCGCCTGGGTGATGCTGTTGCTTCCAAACCCAGGTCTGTACTCTGAAGCTGCTGGTCCAGATGACAAGGTCCCGGCAGAAATTCACTGAGGACTGAGCCCCACTCCGTTCTGCACAGTGGCAGCCCGAGCAGGAACTCTTGCAGCAGGTGAGAGTGAGGCTGGGGAGGCCACGTCCAGGAAGAATGTGTCTCTATTACGCAGCCCAGTGGTCCACTAATGTGCTGCTGAAAGGCCAGGGAAGCCAAAGACGGGAAGATTCACAGAATTGTGCACCAAGGACCCGATTAGGAATAGGAAGAAAAGAGGACACATTATAAAAGAAGCAGAGGAAGAGAATTGAATGTCACAGCCCACGTACAGAGTTCAGGGAGCAGTAGGTTCTCATGTTTCGGAGCCTGTCTCCTGTGTTGCTTGGCATATCTCAGGGCATACTGTGTCTGATTACCCTAAGTCTTGACATCATCAATTTAGCCAAATTGGCTTGAATTTTAGTAACACAATAAGAAGCCATAGGAACAAGGTACAGCATGAATGCTTCACTTGGCAAAAGCACATTGCCACAGGCCCTGCCCGAGGTGTGTGTGGAGCTCTGACACTCTGAGGGCAGAGCTGTCAGTGCTGCAGAGAAGCCGCATTGCCCTGTCGCGATCAAGGTGGACAGAGTCCCCGAGTGTGTGTCCTGGGGACTTCAGACCCTGTGCTTCTAGCCTGACTCTCCTCTGGTCTCCCTGGGTTTGCCCTTGGCCCTTGGGAAGATGCTTCTGCATTCTCTTCCAACACTTCGAATCCTTCCACCAAGACGAAACATCCCATCTTCCCCAGGCGCTGCCTTTGCCTTCTGCTCTCTCTATCGGCTGCATCTGCCCACTGGAGTCTGCTCTTTGGTTTATCATTTCTCCTCATAGTAGATCAGCAAATACCAATGAGTTTTCCTTTCCATTGTGCTTGAACTTGTAGTCCCCCACTCGCTATCCGAGGACTGGGGATTGAACCCAGCTTACTCATGCCAGGCAAACGCTTGACCCCTGAGCTGCAGCCTAGCCTTTTTTGTTTTATCTGGAAACAGTTTTGCCAAGTTGCCCAGGCAGGCCTGGAACTTGTAATCCTCTGGTTGAGCGACCCCAGCAGCTGGGATCCCAGGCCTGTGCCGCTCTGTCCAGCTCCTTCACATTTTTACCACCACAGTTTTAGTGCTACATGGTGCTAGTCACAATTTACTGGTGCTGCATACTCCTAGTGCAGTAAGTATGTCATCCTTCGGTGTTCAGGGCTCTTTGGAGCAGATGGCAAACCTCCCGCTCCTGTCAGCTTCCTCACTTTTCTTTGGAAAGCCTTGCCTGATTCTCTAGTCCAATACAGGTTTCTCCATTTTTCTGTCACTTAGCAAAGTGTAACTTTTAGTGCAACGGTGGAGTTAATACTTGGCTCCCGCAGGAGCCATCCAGGTCTGTGAGGCGAGTGGTCCTCTCTCTTGGCTGGCACCTGACCGAAGGGCTGTACCCGCACCGTCACAGGTGGGGCATGCTGGGAGCCTGCTTGGTGTGTGGCCCAGATCCCAGGGCTCAGAACTTCCCTGTTCTGTCCTCCCCTCCCTTCCCCTAGAGAAACCCTCCAGCCCCCTGGAGAGGAGCAGTGCTTCAGGGAGTCCAGTGGGGTGGAGCTGTGAGGCATGATGTTAAAGTTAATGCAGGCTCTGTGTTGGAGTCCTGATACCCTGTTTCTTCCTATTTTACTTCAGTTTTTCTCATTTCTTTCATTTATCTCTAGGGATAGGGTGCCACCCAGTCCTCCCGAAGTGGGTCTGTCATTGTCGGTCATTCAGTGCCACAGTGAGTCCAGAGGGGGTTACTT